TTAATGTGACATAACAACATTTTACATTAATTATGTCACAAAATAAGGTTCCGCTAAAAAAATGGTTATCTAAGTGCTTAAGTCATAAAATCAACAAGTAGCAATATCTTTTAAATATTTTCTACGTTACAAACATGTTACAATTCGTCATTTTCTTAACATAGTATTATTTGTTATTTTCCCAAGAATATCTTTTTTAATTAAAAAAAAAACAATAAATGAAAAGAGCATCTTTGAAGTTTTCTCTAGTTAGAGAAGCGAGTTGATTATTTTAAATGATTCCGATATCTTGATTAGCTTTCTATCGTTAACCTTACGTGTCAAGAACTATCGCGAAAGAATGCTATTTATTTACTAAGTTAGAGTGCAATATTTTAAAATATACTTATTTTGTTTGTTTTGACAAAAAAAAAGTTATTTTTTTTACCATAACCATATCAAAATATTCGATAATGGCTTTAATTTGTATTATAAATATTAAAATTTCATCTAGATCCTATATTTAACATTAAATACAATAAATATTGATTATTTGAAAAACGTGTAAACGATGTTTGACAATCCTAATACATTTTCAGTTTGTCTATCTATCTGTTTCTTTCATTGCATATAACAATCCAAATTATAAGCATTGGAAAATTTTCGTTTTAATCGTTGTTAAGAATGATGCAAGTATGTACATATATTTTTTGACCTCCTGAGTCTATGCGCTACTATAATATAATGATATGGTAATAGTTTGTAATGAAAGAAAATAATAATAATACTTTCACAGATTAAGCAGAAGGTATGTAACTACATATGTCAATGTTTAAAATAAAAGCCCATGAATCTGAAAAAAGAAGCTATTATTATAATAAGTAAATCTATACTAATATTATAAAGAGGTAAAGTTTGTGAGTTTGTGAATTTGTGACGTTGTAGGGAGTAATCTCTGGATCTACTGAACCGATTTAGATAAGACATAGGATACTTTTTATCCCAGAAATCATCCCTTTAGGGAGCGAAAATGGAGATGAAAGTTTATATGCGGAAACAAGCTAGGTAGTCCCTAGCGAGCTAGTCGCTAGTAAATAATAAATATGTTGGGACATTAATACACAGCCCCATCTAGTTCCATGGTAAGCTACGAGGCCTGTGTTACGGATACCAGATAGTTGATACACTTACACATATATAACTTTAAATACATATATACATATAATAATAAATAATTATTTTTTTTAATAAATTAATACATTTTTCTAGATATTTTTCTATTATGAATCAAGTTAGACGTAAAAGTCGACACAGTAAAATTTAACGACACGCGCGCTGCATAAAGATGTATGTAAATTAGTACCTATTTCTGCGTACAAACTAGCTATTATCACAGTATTGAATCATAGTAATAGTTTCGATTTATGATTATTGCATTTTCAAGTGTTTACTGATTCAAAGTAATATGTATTTATAATATAAAATGAATCGAAACTAGCTTATTGAATATTGCAGTAGGTAGGTGTGTCGATAAACTCAAAAACTACCCAATGGATCTTCATACGGTCTTCACCAATAAATGGAGTGATTCATGAAGGTTTAGTTGTATAATTCATTACTGTTTTCTGTAAATTTGCTGAGTTATCTGATGATTGTATAGATGTCGGAAAAAATTATGCCGACTGGGAGTTTTATTGGCTTGCGCCGCGTAAACTAATAACATTATGTAAAAACAATGTACAATGTATTACAGTAGTATAAGTCTTACTGATCGTTTTCGGCCACTGATTATTATTACTATGATATTTAAATATTTTTTATAAATTTTAAAAGTTATACTTTACTAGTAAAAACTCTCGTCTTTAGGTATGCTTTAACGGTTATTATGGAATAGATAGACTATATATATTACATACATACATATATATATATATATATATATATATATATATATATATATATATGATGAGTGGGTAGTATTATAACGTGTTTACCCGTGGGAATAAGATAATCCATAAAACCGGAGGTAAAAAGTAGCCTATGTCACTTTCCAGCTCTCCAACTATCTCAACACAAAAAATCACGCCAATTCCTCACTGTATCGACGTGAAAGAAGAAACAAACACACACTTTCACATTTATAATATTAGTATAGATTGAAGCTGGTAGTAAAATCAATATTTATTAAACAATACTTACGGTGAATAAAAAATAATAGTAAGGTCAAATCATCAAAACTGACCTACTAAAATAGGTATTATTGTAATCAACATAATTTATAAATTCATTTGATTAACAAATTAAAGACGCACTCTTTCATTGCGAATGTACATTAGTCACTCACGTCAATCCGGTCAGTATGCCTTTACGCGTGCGTCGAGTTGAGATTCTCTTAGTGTTTTTGTGTTTTATTTAGTGCTAAATATTGAATGTAAGTGATTAAGTTAAATATAATTGTAAATAAATAAACAATTCCTTTAATTTTTTGTGGTAGTTGTGTAATGAGTGAGAATTAATATTTTGTTAATAAGAATGTATGACTGTAGAGCAATTAAAAAGTGTTATTTTCCATATTTATGTGGAATTATTTAGAAGCATAGTTGTTGTTAGTTTGATTTAGGTTTTTACGTTTTTTTTTCTACAATGGTTGCATTAGCCACTATCCTATTTATTACCCCGTAACGGATATAACTTATTATAATATAAATATTATTATTATTATTATTAACGGATATAATCCAATCCGCCAACCCGCACGTAACCAGCGTGGTGGACTATGGCCTGATCCCCCTCGTATTAAAGGAAGGCCCACCCCCAGCAGTGGAATGTTAAAAGGGCTGAATAGAAGATAGAACGGATATAATGTGAATAGTTAAAAATTGATTAATACAAGTACACTAATTATAAGCATTATAGTCAGTGGAAGCTTGTTTCATTTAAGTTTTGTGAGGGGTTTTTTATGTTGCGATTCCTTTATTTGTTATATATGTATTTTAATTCCACCAGACCTTGTGCTTTTTATTAAAGTTAAAATTGGTGAAATAATTTAATGAAAACAAGTAAATTTAAGTTAAGTGAAATATCGTAGTGTGGTACTCAAATCATCTTAATAAGACAGGCCAAACCAAATAATTGGCCCACGCAGAAATCGAACCTGTAAAATATTGAATTATTATAGAAATATATTCGATGTACATATACGAGAGTACCATATCTTAATATAGTATAGAAGATAAGGAGATTCACCTAGATTCCGCCCAATAATATAATAAATGTATTGTCGTCTTCCGTTACGAAGGGTTACTACTGGCATTATGCAACATTTTAAGTCTTACTTCGAAAGTACATAACATTAGTTCTAAATTTTTTTTGGTCAACCGTACATATTCACATTTCGGAATAAAAAGTTTTCTATGTATTCCAGACTATAATCTATTTCTGTGGCAAATTTCATTCAAATCCGTTCAGCCGTTCTGGCGTGATTCAGTGACAAACATCCCTTCATTCAAACTTTCGCATTTATAATATTTATGGGATTAAGTCACGAGGTAAAATAAATTTTGATTGTGTCTAACAATCGAACTGACGACCAACGACAAAATCAATTTCAGTCACAGAAGTTGTTTTTATCTGTAAGTGCAATTCTCAAGTATAAAGTCATCGTTTACTGCATCCAGATTTCGTATCTATCAAAGCATGTTACGTGGGAAGTAGTAGGGTTGTCAATTTAATATAACAAATTTTCGCCCAGTGGTTGAAATTCGAAAACAATCATCGTGGAAAATTTTAGGAAAACATGTACCTATAAATAGAATTTACCTACTTACATAAAAGATAAGTGTAAAAAATGTACTGAACTGTTGTTGTGTATTTGCCTACTTATATATACTATTTACATATATATTTTATTGATTTTTTTGTGCGTGTTTCATGATTTTTGTGAAGACCATATTCGGGCAGGACAGCGTCTGTCGGATCCGCTTGTATTTCATACATACATACATACATACATAGTCTTTATTTATTACTTGAAAAAAAATTTAAAATGTGATATTAAAATATTATTTAAAATATTTTTGTTAAAAAGTAGGCAACCCTAATTCAAAGTGTCTTTACGACCTTGCTTAGAAACTCGTATCTGAGGTAATGAGGAAACCGTAGGTATGGAAGGAAATTAGCCAAAATTGCAGTGTTAAGCCCTCCATGACAAAAAGTACAAATATGTACATATATTGTATATATTTTAATATTTAGCAGTCGTTACGTGTTTGACATATAATTAACTATAAAAAATTGTAAAATTTGAAAGTTGGTTGACAAATATTACAAATATACGTACATAAATTTCAATATTTAGGAGTCATAAAGTGATTCACAAGTAATTTCCTACAAAAATTATATAACTTAAATGTTCGTTCTAAAAAACTATAAGTCTAAATATTGATCCATAATATAAGCTTTCTTCTTTCACATTTCACTTAAATTCATTGCAGCGCTAAATAATAAACCTTCTTTCACTCACTTTCTCAATTAAAATAATAGTAATATTTAGTACAAGCTAAGCATTCCATAATAAATTATTACACTGGTAAAATAAAATGTGCAAAAATACTGATATTTTGAACAATAATACGCATTTTAATAAAATAAGGAAAAGTTGGGGTTGGTGGGTTGCTTTTCCTTTTATAAAATAAAATTTAGCACACTTTTTTCCTGCGGTTTTTAAACTTCTATGAGGACCGTCCTCGAATTTAAAAAAATAATAATAATAGAATCGTTTGTGGCCCACTGGGGCCCCCTTGTAGCACGGGCCCCATGCGTCCGCAATAGTTGCATTGGAATAGCTATGCCACCGTTTACAGCAACTATGGTTACCGAAGAGTCTCTCTTCAAGAGAAAAAATAGATTTATTTAAAATTTTGAACAATCTTTTACATTAACTCATTTTAATATAATATTGTCAACCTTTTTACATTGTAAGGCATATTGATCGCATTTTGATATTTTTATATTCTTTCTAGAGTACCGCTTAGATCACCTCGTCGAAAGTCTACAGCGCCGCGACGGTTCAGATCGGAGTTCAGCATGGAAGATGAAGACTACTCGCCCAGTAATTCTGTTACGAGTGTCAATTCTCTGGCCAGTTTGTTAAAGGAGAAGTTACAGGTAAAGCTTTCAAAATATGGCTAAATAATTTTACTTCTTAGATTATAACTTTATTTATTACAAAGATTTTTTTATCTCTCTAGTGAAAGACAAGTGACCGTCAATACATCATGCGTCTACATTTTTAGTTTCAAATTTAAAATTTTTATTCAACTTAAAATTACCACATTTTTTTACTGGACCTGATGAGGCTACCGCTAAATAAAATTATTTTTTCGGATTTTTTCGCCGATTTATTTTGATTTTTGAGAGAGTCTCCCGTGATCATAATTGCTGTAAAGCATTCGAAACGTCGGAAACCAAAAATCGAAATAAATTCGCGAAAAAATCCGAAAAGATAGTTTTATTTAAAATTTCAAATATTCACGTAAATCTAAGAAAGTAGTATACTAATTTTAATTTTTATATAATTCCAGAGCATTCCCCAAAAGATAAGAAAGAAGCCCACAGATTACAAATTACGCGCGTTCGTTAGCCTAATGTTCCTGGCCGTCGTTTTCTTCGTCGGCTTCGCATATGTTCTATACCACCAACAGGCACTCACTAAGGCGTACTTCGATAGCGTACAGTTCAACGAGCCCAAACGACTTATTAGAATTTTTAATAAGGATGATGTTGAAATTTTAAAGGCCAGCTTAGGTAAGGTTTGACAGAATTGTTAAATGTCTTGTTTTTAAGGATTTGTGCAGAACAGGTATTCTATTCTGTAAAAATCTTTAAAATATCTGTTTTTAGAATAGTTAGACTAATTTAAAATAACTGAAGTTAGATTAAGATAAGAGAAACGTTTTTATTTGCTCCTACGCTACAATGAAACGAATTAAAAAAAAAACATAATGAAAGATATAACTAACAGTTCTTTTATTTATTTTAGTACATAACTTTCTATTTATAATCTTATTTTAGAATTCAGTTACACGAGAAATATCATTTTTGTCTTACAGCTGTTGGTATTGGAGATAAACAAAAAGCATTTCCTTGTTTACCGGAACATCGACTATCGGATGGATCAGAATGCTTGGAATGGCTTCACAACCTCCGTTTCTACCTCAAGTGTCTGCCGCACGACCCTGGAGTTGATAACACTACTTGTTATTCAATTCATTGGAAGGCTTTGAGATCAGGTAAATAGTTAATATTCTTCAAGAACATTGTTAAATTTTGAACTAGTGCTATAAATCGTCATATAGTGTTGTTTTGTTTTTTCACAAACAGGGGAAAAAGTTACAAAACATGTTATTATCAAAGGCAAAATGAATTTTACGCAGTCTTTAGACTTAAAACAACACCAGCCCATCTGATTGCCAAATAGAAAGTTTTTTGAATACATGATATGGTTTAAGCGAATATATCGCCTAAAGAAATTGCCGAAATATAGTCAATAGAGAATTAAAAAATATCCAAAATGTAATTTTATTTTTATTATGTTTTACGACTCTGATGCATCACGACGACTTTCTTCGGATTTTACTAACAGAGTTCTACCTTATCTAATAGCGGCCAAAACCAAAAATAGCAAATGTTTTTTTTTGTATAAACGGAAAATACTAGTCTGTTATACACAGAAAGACAAGAAAATGTGTAGAAATAAGCTAAAGCTAAAGTAATTATAGTTTTCAAATAATTCATCGTTTTTACTGACACCACTTTATCTTGTATTTTTTCAAATATTTACTTATGTTTAATCTATTTATTTAATCAGGTTCTCATATGCTAAGTATTTGTAATTTAACTTCATATGTATTATATTTGAATTTCAGATATTACACCGAACGATTGTTTCGACTGGAGTGATACGAAAGTCCATTGGTTTGGAGCTGGTCAATCACATAATCTGACATGGCCGTTAAATACTGGAACCATAGACTACACGCCATTTATTACAGGCGATATGCAGAAATCTCAATGGGGCAATGTATTAACTAGATATCTGATAAACTCTAAAGGAGCAGCTATCATTATAGATGATGAAACACCATTATATATTTCTGTAAATAAAGGGAAAAAAGAAATTTGTTTGAAGGCTAAATACGATGAATTTGCTTTTGCTAATAAATTAACTGAATTTCCAGAAATGAAATATAACATTTGTACATCTAAAGATATGAAATCGTTACATTCATCAATACATAGTCATAGACGAGCTCCTTTATGGGATGGATTAAAGCCAGCTGATATGAATACCTTAGAGTCTCTTATATCAGAGCCAGTATGGCAAATAGTACCACGATTTAAGCATGAATTGCAAGATGAGACCATATCTAGATACACAGAAGACGTTATCGATCTAGGTTTTCTCAAACAAGGCCACGTATTGATTAATGAATTTTGGCAATATGAAATAGGTGATCTCACTGTCGATAAGAGTCGATTCGCAACTTTGAACGTTACTGTAGATAAACTTCACAGACGAGGTTTTAAAGTAGCATTTACAATTCAGCCATTTATAAGTACAGAAAGTGTTAATTTTGTTGAAACAGTACAAAAAAGATTACTAATTAGTGAGAGAAATAGTGATAGAAGAATACCAGCCTTAACTAGGTTTAAATCATTAGCAAGTGCTGGAGTTTTAGACATTACAAACGATAGATCTGTACCGTGGTTACAAAAGAAACTCCAAGCTGTGATCGATGAATATCATATAGATTCGTTTTACTTTGATCTCGGTACTGCGTACGATATGCCACATTATTATAGATGTGAAAAGCAATTGGTAAACCCGGACCAGTATAAGACTATTTTCACCAAAACCTTTGAGAAAGCACTTAATATTATCGGAGTATCATCAGCTATTAGTTTGCCGCGACCGCCAATATTTGTTTCACTGCCTCCATTTGAATCTACGTGGGAAGCACTAAGATTGGTCATTCCAACGATGTTGACTTACGGGGTTAATGGGTTTCCGTTCACAATGCCAGGAGCTGTAGGAGGTGATATATACTGGCCAGGAAGTGAACAGTTTTTACCTTCTTCTAAAGGATCAATAGAATCAAGTTCGAATACTACACAAGAAAATGGTATTGCGTTACCTGAAAGAGAGCTGTATATGAGATGGCTGCAAATGGCTACGTTCTTGCCTGTTATGAAGTTTACTCATCTGCCAAGCAAGTACAACGACGAGCGTGTTCTTGAAATGGCTAAAAATTTAACTCTGTTAAGACAGAAATTAGTAAGTTTTTTCTTTCTTTTCATGTATGGTACTAATAAGCGCTATGTCTTAAATTGTTTCTAAAACCGTTATTTTGTTCATTGTCTTGTTAAATTTGTACTTTTAGCTTATAGGCTAGTAGAGCTGGATTCTTCAATAAATTATCTATAATTTATTAGGACAACGAAAAAAATAGTACCTATTAGTTAAATAAAAAAAAAACAATTCTTCCACAGGTCACACCATTATTGTTAAAATATAAAAGAGAAGCTTTAGAAGAAGGACTGCCCCTGATCAGACCACTCTGGCTAGTAGCTGATGGAGATGCGCCCTTGTTAGTGCAGGATGAATTTTCAATAGGCGATGAGATTGTTGTGGCTCCAGTATTAAATAAGGGAGAGACTATGAGAGAAGGTTAGATTGTTTCAAAATTGTTTAAGTATACATATACTGTTTGTTTCTTATAGTTTATAAAATATCCTTGAGTTTTACATAATTAGTTTGGATAACTCTCCAAAAAGGTCTTAAATATATAATTAAAAATATATTAAAAAGTGATGTTACTGTTATATAGTGAACTAGCGACTCAACCTCGCTTCGCTTAGGTTCGTCCCTAGCTTGATTCCCCATACAAATTGTCATCCCCATTTTCACCCCCTCAAGAGATGATTTCCAGGATAAAAAGTATCCTATGTCCTTTCCAAGATCTCAAACAATCTTCTTACCAAATTTCATCTAAATCGGTTCTGTAGATCCAGAGATTACCTCCTCAAACGTCACAAACTCGCAATCTCACAATCTTACAAACTCACAAACTTTACTTCTTTATAATATTAGTACGTATAGATAAATATAAAATATTTGGCTACTACAGATTTGGACTTGAGAAAAACATATATAATTTTCAGGTTATTAACGTGTAAATAATTAGAAATGACATATTTTTAATACTTGTGATGGCTAATTCCTTAAATTACTATATATTATTTCAGTTTACCTCCCAGCGGGTTTATGGCAAGACGGCATAGACGGCTCACTTCGGAAAGGCAACAGGTGGATGCATGAATACAAAGTTCCTACAGACCGCGTCGCTTATTTCCTTAGAAAACCTGATGACTTGCGATTCAAATAAAAATGAAGTCAATGTTAAATTATTGTATTTTCAAATGTGTCTTACACAGTAATTTAAAAATGGATAAAAACTATTTATCCATCGAAGTAGTCTTCCAAAGAATAGTCCAAATATATTTGTTAAGAATTTATGGACCAATAACAAAAATGTCATCTGAAGGATCTAAAGAGCTGTTTAGTAGAAATTTCTAACATAAATTCTTCACATTATGTCTAATAACTAATAAGTGTCGGTTTTTTGGAACCAATAATAGAAGTATTGGCGAGAAAATACGTAAATAGTTGTACTATAGATGTAAGATCAGCACATTTAGATACCATCCAGGTTGTATGTATGAATCCATATTGTAACGACCAAATATGTTAAGTTTTCAGTGTTATAAGAAATCCCGGACTTTTTTTGACATTCCATTTTTTTGACGGGATTGATGAACGGGATGACGGGACATTCCATTTCTGACGGGATTTGATTATATTGTATACTGTTTAGTAACTTTCAAACTGTTGCAAACTTAACGTAAACTTTATTTATAAGTTCTCATGTGCCTTATTATGATAATGTTTCATGTTTGAGATTGTTCTTTTTAAATCTAGTCTTACTTTAGATTTTTCAATATTTAATCTTGAGTAATAAGTTAGTGCCTTTTTTATTAAATTGGTTATTAGGACTATTATTTTTAATTTTCTTTACCGAGTCAGATGGTAGCATTTCTTCACTTTTTTTCTAAGTATTGATCTCTGTGAGTAAAGAATCGAATCTGCGACTCAAACTTGTATGCTATTATCGCGACCTAATGATGTAGGTAAATGGCTGATATGCAGTCGTCAAAAAATTTTACTTTAACACAATTACCATCACTTTTTAATTTCATTTGTGACGTCAAATATTGACTTACTGATCATATTATGTCTTTAATATTAAAAAAAGTGTGTGTCTACTTATGTACGTACGTAAGAAGTTATACTTCTTTGGCGTAATAGAACAAGAATAGCTAAAGATTTCATCCCGTATATCACAACTCTCTGTTTGTAAAAGGAATGCAGATAACTCATCATGTCACTTTCAGCTAACTTCATCATGTCGCTTTTTGGCTGTCGATGTGCGCGCGCATCGTAAAGATTTACTCTTATATTTTTTTCAAACGTGCCAAAAGATGTATAACTTAAAAAAAAATTAAATAAGATAAATTTTGAATTAAATAAAGTAGTGTTCTTCGCTGATAAAAAAAAAACAAGTGTTATATAAAATGTTATCAATTACTGGGAGCGCAAATAATAAAAATAACCGAATATTTGTTATAGATATTATTAAATTTTGACTTTTATGAGAACTTCTTATTAAATTGATCAAACATTAACTATTACTGAGCATTTACCATTTTCTTCTTTAACAAAAAAATCTTGCTTTATTGAAAGTGTGTTCGCCTTACATTAAGTATGATTTGTGATTTTGCAATAAGATATTGTTTAATAATGGTATGAAATATAATGTTTTATATATTTAAATTAACGACACGTCTTCGTGTGCAAAATTAAATGTTTAATTTTGATTTGCAAAATATTATATTGTAAATTTTAAGTTCGTTGTGTCGTTGTCGTTAATAAATCAACTCGTTGTTTGAATAAAATTATTTGTTTACTTCAAAATATGTAGAAGAATGTATGACGTTGAATAAATTAATATTTTCAGTTTCTTGTATTATTTATAACTAGCGACTCTACCCTATACTACGTTTAAATTTTTTTGAGCGGAACCCTAATTATTTTTTAAAATAAAAGTAGCCTTAGTTACTCCTTATAACATCAGCTATCTGCCAGTGAAAATCCTGTCAAAATCGGCCCAGCCTTTTCAGAGATTAGCTTGAATAAACAGACAGACAAACAATTTTGAAATTGTGTTTTTTATAAGTATCGTATATAATTTCATATGCATTTAGTAAAAAGTTGTTACTTTGACAACAGACACTTCAATTTTATGCATCTGTATAGCTTATTTATTTTAGCTTATTATTATAGTTAGACATTGATTTAAAAAACTCAAGATAAACAAATAGCGTCTCAAAAGAGTCCTCAAAAAGAAGCACATAATTCGAAATTTTTTCAAATCTTTTGTTCATTGCTTTTCGGATGACAAAATTAAAGCGCACGTTGTTTCATTTCAAAAAGTACTTTATCTGGTGTGCGTAAGTTCGAATTTATGTTTAGACAATTTGAACTTTCGATTTTTGTATTTTATTCTTTGGTTTGACTTAACATCACATGTCGACGCCACTTTTTGAAGCGATATTTATTAGGAAATGTACTGTATATCTACGAGTATGTTTTTATATACGAGTATCAATGGATTTAGAATTCGTAATATAATTAAATAAATAAAAGCATCCATAACATTTTTGAAATATTTTTATTATTTTAATGAATCTTACACCTCACCACACACGCCGAATGGATAGCGATGACTGATACAATGAATGGTTTCATATTCAATAATTTACATAGTACGTTACAAATACCTAAAGATCCACGAAAGGACATCATTATTGAAATTATTAAAGAAATAAAATCGATCTTTAAAAGTTCGAAATCAACATAAAATCAGTCTCTTGCCATCAAGCGTGCAAATTTGCCAAATGAACCCCGATTGGCAAACTTAAGAAGCGAATTTAAGAATCGGGGTTCATTTGGGAAATGCAAGTAAGCAACGTCTCCTAAGCACATCGGTTGTTAGCACCACAAAGCCTTCTCTACTCCACCATATGTACACAAAGTTCCCGTATACATTATTCCGAAGTCAGCTTAAACCAATTATAAAGCTAGTTAAATAATCCAATAAGATAACCTTAACATTTGTTCATTGTTCACAGTCGAGGGTACGAAACAATGGTGTTTGCGACAACATTTCTTCATAAATTAGGAACTATAAGATGACGACAATTTGATCAATTTTTCAATACTATTTATTATTTTTATTTTCTATAAATATTTATAGAAATTAACACAGCGTTAGAATAAAATAAACAGTATAATATCAGTGATAATATGAAAAATACAACATTTAATAATTTTAATAATGATTTATTTCTCAGAGCTATTGATGTTCACTAAGCTGATACAATTCTTATTTTTAATAACATTTTAATATTCCTAATATAATATGCATTAATTAGAGTTCTAGCTATAAAATACAATAGTAAATTTGGGTCAGGCTTCATAGCCAGCGGAATTGTGATTGCTGGCTCATATAGAAAGCCGAAGAGGACACCCCTAACACTCAAAAAGCGAATGGTCAAACAGATGCAAGCATCAGAGACAGAGCGATCTATAAAGGAGAAGTCGAAGGAAGTCGCTAGTCAACTATATTACAGCAGAGCTTTGAAACACTAGGACGTGACAGCGAAGCTAAAGTAATTAAATAAGGCGAAAACAAAACAAATGTCGAGAAGTCTCTCAAATAATGCATCAGTTTGACCATTTAGATTCAAACAAGATTCATCTCCCTGTTAATTTCCACTCACAAAAGTCGAAGCCTTCAGAAACGTAATTGTGCTCACACAACACTCGGCTCAAACATTAATATCAATCAATAGTATAAGTATAACTATAAAATAAATTCACATTCGTTCTCACAATATTGTATAAAATAAATATATAGTATACAATAGTTAATGTATCTGGTAATGCTTTAATTATTTTATTACATTGTGCTGGTGCCGTCAATTATACAGAATCATTTTCTCTATTTATCTATAGATTATAGTTATAAAGTTTTGGCAAAGAAAGCGATGACAGGCGAGTGGCGCAAGTCGGCTTAATGCTATGGATGACTTAAAATTAATTGACTCAAAATCTTCTTGAAACAACAAAAGGAAATTTTATATTTATCCAAGGAAAGTTCTTACAGATTAACCACTAGACTAGATGGTAAAATTTGATGATTTTTATTAATATCACATTCTCGCACACAATTTGAATGTATTGGTAAATAAACAAATATTTTTCTAAAGGGAAACGTCTAAACACGTAGATTAGTAACATTCAATGGGAAACGATACGTAAAAATATTAATAAATCAATTCGTATAGGAACATATAATACTACGTGTCCAAGTATTTGGGTTGGAGTCGACTAGAAACTATTCAATATTATAGACCCAATTTTTGCCAAACCATTATAAAGCCAGAGATTCTGTTAACACTTTCTGTACATGAAATGAGTTAAATTTAAACAACACTCACTTAAACTATATCGCATCGACGCAACAAGCAGATTTCAACTTAAAACAAAGGTAAATATATTGTTTTATTTGTATTAATAATTCTAATAAAACATTTATTTAATATGGAGTAAGCTCTCTATCGTCTTAGGCTGATTGGTTGCTAGAAGTCAGAAATATCTCCACTTACTTTGGACTAGTCAACGATATATTATTCGACTCATATAGGAGTTTAATAAATCCAGGCACAATTCAGTTAACTCCATATGCGTCAAGTATCTATATTTTGACATATACCCTAATCAGTCCGTATTACGCTTTTGGTTGGAGTTGAAAAAAATATTGAGGAATCTACTTTTCCCAAGCGTTCCAAACCTTGTGCATCTAAATTAAATGGAGACATCTCTGCTCCAAGAGGGGTATAGAACAGAGTGTCGTCAATTCTATCCGTAATAATTAATTTACATAATAGTGCAAGCCGCACTAGTTCGTCCTTAATAAGCGTCTTTTCAAGACAATTAATAAAATATACTCTTTTAAACTTTCAATCACATTACAAAACCATTCGTGTAATTCAGATGAAATTTAGTACTCGTCCTTGATATATTCGTCTCGGAACTGTTCTTATTTTATACATTACGTCCGTCGTAAAGCGATTCGCTAAAATAATTTTTGCGATAAGTATTTATATAATATTAAAATACATCCTATTAAGAAGTCAATGTTTTAGCAAAATAATTTTTCAAAAATTTAGACATTACGCACAAGCGGTGTTTTGGCTAAACAAAATGGACTGGTTTCGCTAAAAATCGTGTATAAAAGCACTACTGATTGTATAAGACCAAATTCAAAAATACCGTCAGAAAAATATTTTAAATGGCATGTACTATTTGTCAATGACGCTACTAGAAAACAGTTTTAGAAAAAAATGGACGTTTCCGTTCTTAGGTCGAGAATTTGGTTATTGACATTCGAATTGGATACAATTAAGGAATCATTTCAGGATCGACACTCGGCCGTTACGATAGTAACACTACGCTTTATTACCGTCTACGGGATTAAACTCCACAGTCTGTCGATTGCATTCTAATATCACATAATATTTTACTATTTGCAAACTATCTCATACGGAGTAGCTTCCTCACACGTAGCTGCTTTTGAATGCTCCTTTCTTTATCACAGCCTTAATTCCTACAACAATAAATGACTCTTTGGTTTCCCCATTCAAAAGCACCTAGTTTGGTTTCGAGAGGATTACTTCTTCGATGAGAAGGCTACAAATAGGCCCGACACCTAGAACTCGAGCCTATAGGCTGCGCAAGATGTCTCGTGGTCCTGTAAGTTGATTGTGCATCGGGAAGCCGACGGCGAAAGATCAATCTTGTATTTCTCAAGTGCTTCCTCGTTTTCAGTCACCCAAAAGCCAAGAACATCAGTATCATATGTGGGAATTATGGTTACTTCTGCAACAATAAATAGATAAGTAAAATTAATGAGTATACTTGCAATAAAGGTATCGACGAGTTTAGTCAGAAATATCTAAATTCTAATAATTAGATAAACAATGTGAGAATTGTCATACAAATGTAATACAAAATAAATTCAAATTTACCTAAATCTTTATCTTCCCACGTCTTCTTGGCATCGAGGAGAGCGTTATAGATTTCTTTAGATGGTTCTGTCCCTGAGAAAACATAGTATCTGGCTCGAACTCTTTTAAAGAATTCAATAGCAGAGTAGTAAGAATTCCCATGGTGAGGAACATAAGTTAGATCCATATAGATTGGAGCTGGAGCTCTTTTCTTTGTTGGAGATTCTGCAGCCCTTTTGGCTTCTTTACTTTTCTCTTGATTTATCTTGTTTTTATTTGCCACGGTTGTACTAACTTGTTTTTTCGGCGTGCTTTTACCATCTGTCTGATTAGATGGCAATACTGGACTAGGTAGACCGAGAGGTTTGCCCCAAGACTCTATTGGGTCCATAGTTTTTTCAGACTTAGTTTCAGATTTGCTACTAGTCGACGAGGATGAGGTTTGCGCAACTTTTTTCGACTCAGTTTTGAGATCTTTAAGAGTTAATGAAGTTGTTTCCGTTTTACTTTCTTGATGACTAGAGCTCGAATGTTCGTGTTGATCTAGTTTGTATTTACCTGTGACACTGGATATCACTTCAGGGCCACTCACCTTTTTATGCTCTTCAATAGCTTTTTCAAAGTGTTCGTCAGCTTCTTTTAGAAATGATGCATCAGACGTCTTCATGGCATGCTTGATTAGTACAGACTGCGATTGTTCATGTGATAAAAAGTCTTCAGTCATTTTTGTTAAAGGTTTTTCAGTAAAAAGAATTTCAGTCTTATCTTCGGAATGTGTTGAATATGTACAAGAGTCATCATCGGGCAATTGTCCATAAATTGATGTTGACATAGGATCAAATTCTACTTTTGGTAAACTATCATGACTTAATTCTCTAGGATGTGGTGATTTTGAGTCAAGCTCGAAGCTTAAATTTGATCGTGGTGAATGTGCTATTTGTGATTTTGTACTGCTTGGACTTGCTTGGCCATCATCATCACTGTAATACATTCCACTACTCTCAGTGCCCCAAATATGAGTAGCAGCTCGTGATTCTCTTGAACTAATATCAGACGGCGGTGATGATATACCAGGATGGTCTAAATCATCACTGGCAGCAGAGGAACTTCGCATATCGCTCGTTTTTGATGAAAGTTTCGAGAATGACTTTTCACTTTCACCTGTATCGATTATTTCCTCATATTCTTCTTTTATTTCTGAAATTGTCGTTTTTGTAGATTTGGTAGTTTTAGTTACACCGTCACTTCCTTTACTAACAGTGGTCGTTTCAACAGTAACTTTAATTTTTTCAGGACTAATGACCTCTTTAGTTGTAACTACAGTAATTGTCTGAGTTATTTCATTATCACCCTCTTTTATTATTTTCGTGAAGGTATCTGTATCGGTAGTTATTTCACCTACTGGAGATCTTTTCTTTGGTTTGCTTTCAGATTGTGCATTTGATTTTTTTTCTAACGGCAGTTCAGATAAAATGGGCTTATCTTCTTCAATGTGGGCTATGGATTCCATAGGTTTCTGTTGAATATTTGGTTGTTTCTCGATTTGATCTAATTCTTCTGGAGACCAATCATCAATTCCTGTACCCTGAGGAAGATATGTCACCTGTGTATTCAAATCATTAGTTATTTGTATTATGCCATCTTCATTTTTGTTTTCTGTTACGGTCTCAGTTACAGTCTTTACAGCATAAAGATTCATATCGGTGTTAACCATTTCTTCTTTAGTAATATATGTTGTTACAGTTTGATCGATTTTCTTAGAGTCATCAGTGAAAATTATATTCGTCTTTTTATCAACTGCACTCTTTACTTTCCCAGTTGGCTTAAGTCCATACAATGCAGCTTGTAAATCACTATCATAAGATTTTTGTGATTCAGAAATAGTTATTTTGATATCTTTTGTAGTTTCTACTAACCCATTAGGATATAAATCGTCAGTGACAGTCTCGATTGTAGTTCTAACGCGCTCAGTGTCTTTATCAGCACTTGCTAAAATTTCTCTTTTCGTTTTAGTAGTAATAGTACGCTTGATTTCTATATTTCCTTTTTGTATGATCTCATTGTTAACTACTGTGTCCTGAGAAGTGCTTTCTACAATTTCACTTTCCCCAACATATGAATCTAAAGATTCTTCTTCATTACCTGTGTTGGGTTCCTTAAGCAGAAAGTCGGCAACGGAAACTTTTTCACTTTTTTTTGTAATAACCGTTCCATCAGGATACTCATCTTCAGTTGTTGTTCGTGTTGTAGTTCTAACTTTTTTACATCTAGATTTAGTATTTTCAAATTCTTCTTTAATAGTGGTTATAGTTGTTTTCCTGTTAATTTGTTTGCCTTCATCAGTTAATTGTTCCTTCTGTATGTTTGTTTGTATCTCAGGTTTTCCTAACTGCGTATAACCAACTAAATTCTCATCGAAAGCATCGCTACTGTCATCAGATAAAGTAATTTTTACGTCTTTCGTTACTTCTGTAATTCCATTTGGTAGTTTAGTTTCTGTAACAGTTTCAATTGTAGTTTTTATAATTTTCTTAGCATAATCTTCTGTAGCTAGTGTTTCTTTAGTAGTCATTATATTGACTAATTGGGTAACATTTAAACCATCTCTTAAAACGGTCTTTTGTTGATTATCAACGTTGACTGATTTATCCAAAACACGTACGAATTCTTTTAAATCATCTTCCGCATGCATTGAATCCATACCATCGACATCGGAAATTGATTGTCTTTTATCGACACTAATACGCGAAGAGCCATCGGGATACTTATCGGTGGTTGTAGTAGTCGTAATGGATTTAACTTTTTTTATCGTTCCATAACTGTCAGCGAAATTTATTTTTACAATTTTTACTACGATGTTTCTTTTTATTATAAAATCTTCATATTTTATTTCTTTATCTTCGCTTGTTTCTGTTTCTTCAGGTTCTCCGGTTGCGATAAGATTTTTAAGTAATTCTTCAATTTTGTCTTTATCGTCTTCATATACTGAGGTAGGAGATAATTTTTCAATAATATCTTTTGAAGATGTTACAGGAGACTTTTCTGTATGAGATATTTCTAGATCGTCATCCATTATAGAAATCTTTTCACTTGTTTTTACTATAGTAGATCCATCTGGATATTCATCAGATACAATGGTTTTAGTTGTTGTTTTAATTCGCTTAATATTTTTTGTTGTATTATGTAACTCCTCGCTAATAACAGTAGTAATTGTTTTTCTTTTGATACTTATTCCATTATCATTTATAACTTCAAACTCTTCTGTTGTTTCTTCATGTGGCTCACCACTAATCTCGAATCCTTCCGGCATTCCTTCTTCAGGCTCGAGTGTATAATCGGAAATGAATACTTGTGAATCTCTAGTAACTTCTGTAACTCCGTTTGAAAAAGTCGATTCAATAGTTTGGTCTACTGTGGTTTTTAATTTTTTTTTAGACCGATCACTAGTTGCTAGAATTTCTTTTGTAGTAGTTGTAGTAATTAGTTGATGAACTTTTTTACCATCCACTACGACGTCTTTTTCATGTGTATTTACATCAACCGTTTTATCTTCTATAATTGTATAATCATTCAATTCTGTGCTCTCTATAACATCTTTCTCTTCTATATCTATTAAAGAAGTACTGCAATCTACCTTCGTTTGAGAAGACCCATCTGGGTAATCGTCAGTTGTCGTTACAGTAGTGATGGTCTTAATTTTTCTTAGTTGCCCTTCGTGGTCAGCGTATTTTGTTTTCACTACTTTAGTCAAAATCGTCCGTTTAATGACTATATTTTCTTTAACTATCTCTTCAGTTTTTGTCGAAACGTTTTCTTCGGGTTCTCCAAGCATATTATACTCATTTAATATCTTTTCAATATTACTACTAGAGCCAGCAACTATCTCCTCTATTTTGACTTCTACATTTTTTTTGACATCTTTAGAACCATCGGGATATTCTTTAGTAGTGATTGTTTCGATAGTAGTTTTAATATTTTTTTTACTTTCATTTATTTTTATTATTTCCTTCTTTGTTATTGTGGTAATGGTTTCGACTATGTCAATATTATTTTCTCTAATAACTCGTTTACTAACATCTGTGTCAATTACTGTATCTTCTACATTTTCCTCAGAGTCATCCGAATCTATGAAGAAATCTGTTTTTATGGAAGTTTCTTCTTTTTTCATATCTGTCATTGTAGTTGTAGTGGAAGACGTTTGAGATAATTTTTCTTCGCTACATGAAATAGAATCAGTCTTTTCATCATAAGTTTCGAGGTAGAATTTGTCTAATTTACTATCTTTTGGATATAAATCCATCAATGAGGTAGACTTAAGGCTGGAAGAACATTCTGAAAGTAATGTTTGTGTATCTTTTGTAGTAGTAGTGGATCCATCTGAACTTTTACTGAGTGTAGTGGTTTCAATAGTAGTTTTGATATTTTGAGGTGTTCCATCTTCCCTTGATATTATTTCTTTTGTCGTTACTGTTGTTATTGTTTGTGTAACCACATTTTCACCTTCTTTAATTATTTTCGTCACGGTGTCAGTTTCAGTTTTAATTTTTCCTATTGTTTGCATTAAATTGAGGATATCAGATTCATCTTCTACGCTGCTTTTCAATGTTTTAGGTACTTTTTCTGTTGAAGTTGAAATTTTCTGAGTCAGTATATCATCTCCTACATGCACAACTTTAGTTATTGTTTCTTCGCTTCCATCTGATTTATCATAGGAAACTTCACTTTGAACTCCATCACTTATTTTAATATCTTGGAAATTGCTTGGTAATTTAGGTAGAGGACTAACTGGAACAGTGGGAGGAGTAGATACTCTATCAAATTCAGGACATACCGTAAGAGATTCAGCAAGTTCTGATTTAATACCTTGTTGTACGTTATCATCATTAAAAGCTTTATGTATACTTTCCATTAGTTGTTTTGCTGTGTCAGAGGAAGCTTGAGTAGATGATTTAACAATTGTTGAAGGTACAGTATCAGAATCAGTAGTTTCACTATGAATTACAGAATCCGCTTTAGGTATTACTTTTTCTTTGGTTGTTTTTAGCTTTTCACTTTTTTCGGTGCTTTCAAATGAATATTTTTCTTCTAAGCTAACTTCTCTTGAAATATCTTCAGAGCTACTATGGGTCAACGTTTGAGAGGAAATTTCTTTTTCAGCTGTTTTATCTCCTAAGTATGTGCTAGTAGTACCACAAGTATCACCTGTAGATTTTGTTTCAACTTTGGATGTCGATGATTTGTCTTCTTTTTTAACAATTTTTTTCATTGGCTGACTTTTACTAAATTTGTCAAGATTTTGTGTTTTTTTAATCCTTAAGATGTCTGGTTCACTTTCTTTGAGTTTCAAAATGTTATCTTCGACTAGTCGCTCTTCTTTTTCACGATCTTTTAAATTTTCAAGGGAAGTTTCACCATTAAGTTGAGCTACATATTTTTCACTAATACCTTCTTCGTGATACTTTTTCAACTCTTCTGCTATTTCTTCTTTACGCTGGGATTCCAAAACTTTTTGTTTATTGATTTTTTCTTTTATGTAATTAGTATCAATAATTTCTTCAGATAAAGATGTTTTTTCTGTAGTTTTTAAATTAACTTTGCCATCAGGATATTCGTCTTCAGTAGTAACCCTAAGAATTGTCCTAGTACATTTGATTTCTTTAGAAATACTATAAAAGATTTGAGTTATTTTGGTAGTAACAATTTTGCGTTTTATTGTAACATCGTCTTCAATAATAGTATCAATTACTGTAGTAGATTCTTCTGTAGGATCTTCTGAATACTCAAATCCTTCCAAAGGACGATGTGTTGGCGAAGATAATTGGTTCTTTTCAGTATTTAATATTTCATCAACTAAAATTATTTCTTTGCTTGTTGTCGTTTTGATCGTACAGTCAGGATATTCATCTTCAACCGTAGTTGTTTTGATGGTTCTAATTCTTCTTGTATTTATATCAGGATTGCCAAATATTTGTTCAACTGTTGTTGAGGTTATTTTTCTTTTAATTATCACGTTATTTTCTGTCAAATGCTCTACTTTTGTTGAAGTTTTTATTTTAGGTTTTTCGACCAAAGTAAAACCTTCTGGAATATCATCAATTTCTTTGCCTAGCTGTTCTGATACGTCTTCATCGTCTTTAAGTGTAACATCATCTATCATTACTAAGTTTTCAGCGTCACTCAAATGAGTAACAATATCAGGTATTATTTCACTTGAAGGTTTTTCGGCTGATTTATTAGTTACAGTTTGAGGGTCTTTTGAAGTGCTTCCCTTTTTAGTTATTTGTTGTGATATGGGTAATACAGGCATGGGTTTGTCATCAAATGTAACTTCTTCACTAGTAGTTAGTGATCGAGTCCCATCTGGATATTCTTCTTCAATAACAGTTTTAATTATTTTTTTGGTAATATTAATATGATATTTTTTATGAAACAATGTTTGTTTAGTAACTGTTGCGGTGATCGTTTGTTGAATTACAACATCATTTTTAATTATTTCTTTAGTTTTGGAGTAAGTTTCTGTAATAGGTTCGTCAATTTCATCAAAATCTTCAGGCGCATAAGTCTCAACTCCATAATCGGAGAAGTATACTTTCGTATCTTTAGTTTTCTCAGTGATACCATCCGGTAATATTGATTCTGTGAGAGTAACAATAGTCGTTCTTAATTTCTTTTCAGTCTTAGCAGTATTAGTTAAAATTTCTTTGGTTGTTGTAATAGTTAAAATTTGCAAGATACTTTTACCATTAAGCATAATAGTTCTTTCTTTCTTATCTTCAGTAAACGATGTTTCTTCGACAATCGCAAAGACTTTAGCTTTTTCAAAAAGATTATCGGTCAAAAGATTGACAGCTTTTTCTGAGAATTTTTCAGCATTACATTCTTCATCAGGACTAGATGCTTTTCCATAAACTTGCTCAGAAATAAGTTCTTGTTTAACCTCCTCTTCAGGGCTAGGTGCCTTTTCATCTGATATTCCAGAGATAGGCTTAGGTTCTATTTCTTTAAAAGGACTAAGCTCCATTTCGTCAAGTTTTTCGTCTTTAACCTCCACCATAGGGCTAGGCGCCTTTTCCTCTGATTTTTCAGTAAAAGGCTTCGGTTCTGTTTCTTTAACATGGCTGGGCTCTTTTTCATCAAGTTTCTTAGCTTGGAAATCTTTTACAGGGCTAGGCATCTTTTCGTCTGGTTTTTCAGTGATAGGTTTAGGTTCCCTTTCTTTGACAGGGCTTGGTTCCTTTTCGTCAGATTTCTTTTCTTTGATTTCCTCTACAGTGCTAAGCGCCTTTTCATCTGGTTTTTCACTGATAGGATTAGGTTCTGTTTCTTTGATAGAACTGGGCTCTTTAACGTCAAGTTTCTTATCTTTTAGCTCCTCCACAGGGCTAGCCAACAGTTCATCTGTTTTTTCAGTGATAGGCTTCTGTTTTGTTTCTTTGACAGGGCTTGGCTCCTTAATGTCAAGTTTCTCGTCTTTGACCTCGTCAATAGTGTTGGGCGCTTTTTCATCTGGTTTTTTAATGATAAGTTCGGGTTCTGTTTTTTTGACAGAGCTAAGCTCCTTAATGTCAAGCTTCTTTTCCTTGACCTCCTCTACAGGGCTAGGCGCCTTTTCATCTGGTTTCTCAGTGATAAGCTTAGGTTCCGTTTCTTTGACAGGGCTGGGCTCCTTTTCATGAAGTATTTTTTCTTTGACCTCTACAGGGCTAGGCGCTTTCTGAGTGATAAGTTTAGGTTCTGTTTCCGTGACAGGACTGGGCTTCTTATGATAGGCAAGTTTTTCGTCGTTGACCTTATGTACAGGGCTAGGCATCTTGTCATCCGGTGTTTTAGTCGTAAGTTTAGGTTCTGTTTCTTTGACAGGGCCCGGTTCCTTAACATAAAATTTCTTTTCCTTTACTTCGTCTAGAGGGCTAGGCGCCTTTTCGTCTGGTTTGTCATTGATAGGTTTAGGTTCTGTTTCTTTGAGAGGGCTTGACTCCTTGACGTCAAGTACCTCGTCTTTGAGCTCTTCAACAGGGCAGGGCGCCTTTTCACCTGGTTTTTCACTGATAGGTGTAGGTTCTGTTTCTTTGATAGGACTGGGCTCTTTAACGTCAACTTTCTTGTCTTTTAGCACCTCTACAGGGCTAGGGGCCTTTTCATCATGTTTTTCACTGACAGGCTTAGGTTCAGTTTCTTTGACAGGGCCGGGCTCCTTTTCGTCAATTTTCTTTTCCTTGACCTCCTCTATAGGACTAGGCGTCTTTTTATCTGGTTTTTCAGTGATAGGCGTCGGTTCTGTTTCTTTGATAGGGCTTGGATCTTTAACGTCAAGTTTTTTTTCCTCGATCTCCTTTACAGGGCTAGAAACCTTTTCGTCTGATTTCTCAGTAATAGGTTTAGGCTCTGTTTCTTTGACAGGGCTGGGCTCCTTTTCGTCAATTTTCTTTTCCTTGACCTCCTCTATAGGACTAGGCGTCTTTTTATCTGGTTTTTCAGTGATAGGCGTCGGTTCTGTTTCTTTGATAGGGCTTGGATCTTTAACGTCAAGTTTTTTTTCCTCGATCTCCTTTACAGGGCTAGAAACCTTTTCGTCTGATTTCTCAGTAATAGGTTTAGGCTCTGTTTCTTTGACAGGGCTGGGCTCCTTTTCGTCATGTTTCTTTTCCTTGAACTCCTGTACAGGACTAGGCGTCTTTTTATCTTGTTTTCCAGTGATAGGCGTCGGTTCTGTTTCTTTGATAGGGCTTGGCTCCTTAACGTCAAGTTTCTTTTCCTTGATTTCCTCTACAGGGCTAGGCAACTTTTCGTCTGATTTCTCAGTAATAAGTTTAGGTTCTGTTTCTTTGAGAGGGCTTGGCTCCTTGACGTCAAGTACCTCGTCTTTGAGCTCTTCAACAGGGCTGGGCGCCTTTTCACCTGGTTTTTCACTGATAGGTGTAGGTTCTGTTTCTTTGATAGGACTGGGCTCTTTAACGTCAACTTTCTTGTCTTTTACCACCTCTACAAGGCTAGGGGCCTTTTCATCATGTTTTTCACTGACAGACTTAGGTTCAGTTTCTTTGACAGGGCTGGGCTCCTTTTCGTCAAGTTTCTTTTCCTTGACCTCCTCTACAGGACTAGGCGTCCTTTTATCGGGTTTTTCAGTAATAGGCATCGGTTCTGTTTCTTTGATAGGGCTTGGCTCCTTAACGTCAAGTTTCTTTTTCTTGACTTCCTCTACTAGGCTAGGCACCTTTTCGTCTGATTTCTCAGTAATAGGTTTAGATTCTGTTTCTTTGAGAGGGCTTGGCTCCTTGACGTCAAGTACCTCGTCTTTGAGCTCGTCAACAGGGCTGGGCACCTTTTCATCTGGTTTTTCACTAATAGGCGTAGGTTCTGTTTCTTTGATAGGACTGGGCTCTTTAACGTTAACTTTCTTGTCTTTTAGCTCCTCTACAGGGCTAGGGGCTTTTTTATCGGGTTTTTCACTGACAGGCTTAGGTTCAGTTTCTTTGATAGGGCTGGGCTCCTTTTCGTCAAGTTTTTTTTCCTTCACACTCTCCACAGGACTAGGCGTCTCTTTATCTGGTTTTTCAGTGATAGGCGTCGGTTCTGTTTCTTTGATAGGGCTTGGCTTCTTAACGTCAAGTTTCCTTTCCTTGATCTTCTCTACAGGGCTAGAAACCTTTTCGTCTGATTTCTCAGTAATAGGTTTAGGCTCTGTTTCTTTGACAAGGCTGGGCTGCTTTTCATCAAGTGTCTTTTCCTTGACCTCCTCTACAGGACTAGGCGGCTTTTTATCTGGTTTTCCAGTAATAGGCGTCGGTTCTGTTTCTTTGATAGGGCTTGGCTCCTTAACGTCAAATTTCTTTTCCTTGATCTCCTCTACAGGGCTAGGCACCTTGTCGTCCGATTTCTCAGTAGCAGGTTTAGGTTCCGTTTCTTTGAGAGGACTTGGCTCCTTGACGTCAAGTACCTCGTCTTTGAGCTCTTCAACAGGGCTGGGCGCCTCTTCATCTGGTTTTTCACTGATAGGTGTAGGTTCTGTTTCTTTGATAGGACTGGGCTCTTTAACGTCAACTTTCTTGTCTTTTAGCACCTCTACAGGGCTAGGGGCCTTTTCATCATGTTTTTCACTGACAGGCTTAGGTTCAGTTTCTTTGACAGGGCTGGGCTCCTTTTCGTCAATTTTCTTTTCCTTGACCTCCTCTATAGGACTAGGCGTCTTTTTATCTGGTTTTTCAGTGATAGGCGTCGGTTCGGTTTCTTTGATAGGGCTTGGATCCTTAACGTCAAGTTTTTTTTCCTTGATCTCCTTTACAGGGCTAGAAACCTTTTCGTCTGATTTCTCAGTAATAGGTTTAGGTTCTGTTTCTTTGACAGGGCTGGGCTCCTTTTCGTCAAGTTTCTTTTCCGTGGCCTCCTCTACAGGACTAGAGGTCTTTTTATCTGGTTTTTCAGAAATAGGCGTCGGTTCTGTTTCTTTGATGGGGCTTGGCTCCTTAACGTCAAGTTTCTTTTCCTTTACTTCCTCTACTAGGCTAGGCACCTTTTCGTCTGATTTCTCAGTAATAGGTTTAGATTCTGTTTCTTTGAGAGGGCTTGGCTCCTTGACGTCAAGTATCTCGTCTTTGACCTCGCCAACAGGACTGGCCGCCTTTTCATCTGGTTTTTTTGTGATAATTTTAGGTTCCGTTTCTTTAATAGGACTGGGCTCTTTAACGTCAATTTTCTTGTCTTTTAGCATCTCTACAGGGCTAGAGGCCTTTTCATCGGGTTTTTCAATGACAGGCTTAGATTCGGTTTCTTTGACAGGGCTGGGCTCCTTTTCGTCAAGTTTCTTTTCCTTGACATCCTCTATAGGACTAGGCGTCTTTTTATCTGGTTTTTCAGTGAAAGGCGTCGGTACGGTTTCTTTGATAGGGCTTGGATCCTTAACATCAAGTTTTTTTTCCTTGATCTCCTTTACAGGGCTAGAAACCTTTTCGTCTGATTTCTCAGTAGTAGGTTTAAGTTCTGTTTCTTTGACAGGGCTGGGCTCCTTTTCGTCAAGTTTCTTTTTCGTGGCCTCCTCTACAGGACTAGGGGTCTTTTTATCTGGTTTTTCAGTAATAGGCGTCGGTTCTGTTTCTTTGATAGGGCTAGGCTCCTTAACGTCAAGTTTCTTTTCCTTGATCTCCTCTACAGGGCTAGGCACCTCTTCGTCTGATTTCTTGGTAACAGGTATAGGTGCTGTTTCTTTGAGAGGGCTTGGCTCCTTGACGTCAAGTATCTCGTCTTTGACCTCGCCAACAGGACTGGCCGCCTTTTCATCTGGTTTTTTTGTGATAATTTTAGGTTCCGTTTCTTTAATAGGACTGGGCTCTTTAACGTCAATTTTCTTGTCTTTAAGCATCTCCACAGGGCTAGGGGCCTTTTCATCGAGTTTTTCAATGACAGGCTTAGGTTCGGTTTCTTTGACAGGGCTGGGCTCCTTTTCGTCAAGTTTCTTTTCCTTGACATCCTCTACAGGACTAGGCGTCTCTTTATCTGGTTTTTCAATGAAAGGCGTAGGTTCTGTTCCTTTAATAGGGCTCGGCTCCTTAACGTCAACTTTCTTTTCCTTGATCTCCTCTACAGGGCTAGGCACCTTTTCGTCTGATTTCTCAGTAATAGGTTTAGGTTCTGTTTTTTTGACAGGGCTGGGCTCCTTTTCGTCATGTTTCTTTTCCTGGAACTCCTCTACGGGACTAGGCGTCTTTTTATCTTGTTTACCAGTGATACGTGTCGGTTCTGTTTCTTTGATAGGGCTTGGCTCCTTAACGTCAAGTTTCTTTTCCTTGACTTCCTCTATTAGGCTAGGCACCTTTTCGTCTGATTTCTCAATAATAGGTTTAGATTCTGTTTCTTTGAGAGGGCTTGGATCCTTGACGTCAAATACCTCTTCTTTGACCTCGTCAACAGGGCTGGGCGCCTTTTCATCTGGTTTTTTACTGATAGGCGTCGGTTCTGTTTCTTTGATAGGACTGGGCTCTTTAACGTCAACTTTCTTGTCTTTTAGTGCCTCTACAGGGCTAGCGGCCTTTTCATCGTGTTTTTCACTGACAGGCTCAGGTTCAGTTTCTTTGACAGGGCTGGGCTGCTTTTCGTCAAGTTTCGTTTCCTTGACCTCCTCTATAGGACTAGGCATCTTTTTGTCTCGTTTTTCAGTGATAGAGGTCGGTTCTGTTTCTTTGGTGGGGCTTTGCTCCTTGAAGTCAAGTATCTCGTCTTTGAGCTCGTCAACAGGGCTGGGCGCCTTTTGATCTGATCTTTCACTGATAGGTGTAGGTTCTGTTTCTTTGATAGGACTGGGCTCTTTAACGTCAACTTTCTTGTCTTTTAGCACCTCTACAGGGCTAGGGGCCTTTTCATCATGTTTTTCACTGACAGGCTTAGGTTCAGTTTCTTTGACAGGGCTGGGCTCCTTTTCGTCAAGTTTCTTTTCCTTGACATTCTCTACAGGACTAGGCGTCTCTTTATCTGGTTTTTCAGTAATAGGCGTCGGTTCTGTTTCTTTGATAGGGCTAGGCTCCTTAACGTCAAGTTTCTTTTCCTTGATCTCCTCTACAGAGCTAGGTACCTCTTCGTCTGATTTCTTGGTAACAGGTATAGGTTCTGTTTCTTTGAGAGGGCTTGGCTCCTTGACGTCAAGTATCTCGTCTTTGACCTCGCCAACAGGACTGGCCGCCTTTTCATCTGGTTTTTTTGTGATAATTTTAGGTTCCGTTTCTTTAATAGGACTGGGCTCTTTAACGTCAATTTTCTTGTCTTTAAGCATCTCCACAGGGCTAGGGGCCTTTTCATTGGGTTTTTCAATGACAGGCTTAGGTTCGGTTTCTTTAACAGGGCTGGGCTCCTTTTCGTCAAGTTTCTTTTCCTTGACATCCTCTATAGAACTAGGCGTCCCTTTATCTGGTTTTTCAGTGAAAGGCGTAGGTTCTTTTTCTTTGATAGGGCTCGGCTCCTTAACGTCAACTTTCATTTCCTTGATCTCCTCTACAGGGCTAGGCAACTTTTCGTCTGATTTCTCAGTAATAGGTTTAGGTTCTGTTTCTTTGACAGGGCTGGGCTCCTTTTCGTCAAGTTTCTTTTCCTTGACATCCTCAACAGGACTAGGCGTCCCTTTATCTGGTTTTTCAGTGAAAGGCGTAGGTTCTGTTTCTTTGATAGGGCTCGGCTCCTTAACGTCAACTTTCATTTCCTTGATCTCCTCTACACGGCTAGGCAACTTTTCGTCTGATTTCTCAGTAATAGGTTTAGGTTCTGTTTCTTTGACAGGGCTGGGCTCCTTTTCGTCAAGTTTTTTTTCCTTGACCTCCTCAACAGGACTAGGCGTCCCTTTATCTGGTTTTTCAGTGAAAGGCGTAGGTTCTGTTTCTTTGATAGGGCTCGGCTCCTTAACGTCAACTTTCTTGTCTTTTAGGACCTCTACAGGGCTAGGGGCCTTTTCATCATGTTTTTCACTGACAGGCTTAGGTTCAGTTTCTTTGACAGGGCTGGGCTCCTTTTCGTCAATTTTCTTTTCCTTGACCTCCTCTACAGGACTAGGCGTCTTTTTATCTTGTTTTTCAGTAATAGGCAGTTCTGTTTCTTTGATAGGGCTTGGCTCCTTAACGTCAAGTATCTCGTCTTTGACCTCGCCAACAGGGCTGGGCGCCATTTCATCTGGTTTTTCACTGATAGGCGTAGGTTCTGTTTCTTTGATAGGACTGGGCTCTTTAACGTCAACTATCTTGTCTTTAAGCACCTCTACAGGGCTAGGGGCCTTTTCATCGGGTTTTTCACTGAAAGGCTTAGGTTCAGTTTCTTTGACAGGGCTGGGCTCCTCTTCGTCAAGTTTCTGTTCCTTGACCTCCTCTTTAGGACTAGGCGTCTTTTTATCTGGTTTTTCAGTGATAGGCGTCGGTTCTGTTTCTTTGATAGGGCTTGGATCTTTAACGTCAAGTTTTTTTTCCTTGATCTCCTCTACAGGGCTAGGCACCTTGTCGTCCGATTTCTCAGTAACAGGTTTAGGTTCCGTTTCTTTGAGAGGGCTTGGCTCCTTGACGTCAAGTATCTCGTGTTTGAGCTCAACAACAGGGCTGGGCGCCTCTTCATCTGGTTTTTCACTGATAGGCGTAGGTTCTGTTTCTTTGATAGTACTGGGCTCTTTAACGTCAACTTTCTTGTCTTTTAGCACCTCTACAGGGCTAGGGGCCTTTTCGTCGGGTTTTTCACTAACAGGCTTAAGTTCTGTTTCTTTGACAGGGCTGGGCTCTTTAACGTCAACTTTCTTGTCTTTTAGCACCTCTACAGGGCTAGGGGCCTTTTCGTCGGGTTTTTCACTAACAGGCTTAGGTTCTGTTTCTTTGACAGGGCTGGGCTGCTTTTCATCAAGTGTCTTTTCCTTGAGCTCCTCTACAGGACTAGGCGTCTTTTTATCTGGTTTTCCAGTAATAAGCGTCGGTTCTGTTCCTTTGATAGGGCTTGGCTCCTTAACGTCAAGTTTCCTTTCCTTGATCTCCTCTACAGGGCTAGGCACCTCTCCGTCTGATTTCTTAGTAATAGGTTTAGGTTCTGTTTCTATGAGAGCGCTTGGCTCCTTGACGTCAAGTATCTCGTCTTTGACCTCGTCAACAGGACTGGGCGCTTTTTGATCTGGTTTTTTAGTGATAACTTTAGGTACCGTTTCTTTAATACGACTGGGCTCTTCAACCTCAATTTTCTTGTCTTTTAGCATCTCTACAAGGCTAGAGGCCTCTTCATCGGGTTCTTCAATGACAGACTTAGGTTCTTCTTCTTTGACAGGGCTGGGCTCCTTTTCGTCAAGTTTCTTTTCCTTGACCTCCTCTACAGGACTAGGCGACTCTTTATCTGGTTTTTCAGTAATGGGCGTCGGTTCTGTTTCTTTGATAGAGCTTGGCTCCTTAATGTCAACTTTCTTGTGTTTTAGCATCTCTACAGGGCTAGGGGCCTTTTCGACAGGTTTATCACTAACAGGCTTAGGTTCTAATTCTTTGACAGGGCTGGGCTGCTTTTCGTCAAGTTTCTTTTCCTTGACCTCCTCTACAGGACTAGGCGTCTTTTTATCTGGTTTTCCAGTGATAGGTTGTGTTTCTTTGATGGGGCTTGGCTCCTTAACGTCAAGTTTCTTTTCCTTTACTTCCTCTACTAGGCTAGGCACCTTTTCGTCTGATTTCTCAGTAATAGGTTTAGATTCTGTTTCTTTGAGAGGACTTGGCTCCTTGACGTCATGTACCTCGTCTTTGAGCTCGTCAACAGGGCTGGGCGCCTTTTCATCTGGTTTTTCACGAATAGGCGTAGGTTCTGTTTCTTTGATAGGACTGGGCTCTTTAACGTCAACTTTCTTGTCTTTTAGCACCTGTACAGTACTAGGGGCCTTTTCATCGTGCTTTGCACTTTCACTGACAGGCTTAGATTCAGTTTCTTTGACAGGGCTGGGCTCTTTTTCGTCAATTTTCTTTTCCTTGACCTCCTCTATAGGACTAGGCGTCTTTTTATCTGGTTTTTCAGTGATAGGCGTCGGTTCTGTTTCTTTGATAGGGCTTGGCTCCTTAACGTCAAGTTTTTTTTCCTTGATCTCCTTTACAGGGCTAGGCACCTTTTCGTCTGATTTCTCAGTAATAGGTTTAGGTCCTGTTTCTTTGACAGGGCTGGGCTCCTTTTCGTCAATTTTCTTTTCCTTGACCTCCTCTATAGGACTAGGCGTCTTTTTATCTGGTTTTTCAGTGACAGGCGTCGGTTCTCTTTCTTTGATAGGGCTTGGCTCCTTAACGTCAAGTTGTTTTTCCTTGATCTCCTTTACAGGGCTAGGCACCTTTTCGTCTGATTTCTCAGTAATAGGTTTAAGTTCTGTTTCTTTGACAGGGCTGGGCTCCTTTTCGTCAAGTTTCTTTTCCTTGAACTCCTCTACAGGACTCGGCGTCTTTTTATCTGGTTTTTCAGTAATAGGCATCGGTTCTGTTTTTTTGATGGGGCTTGGCTCCTTAACGTCAAGTTTCTTTTCCTTTACTTCCTCTACTAGGCTAGGCACCTTTTCGTCTGATTTCTCAGTAATAGGTTTAGATTCTGTTTCTTTGAGAGGGCTTGGCTCCTTGACGTCAAGTATCTCGTCTTTGAGCTCGTCAACAGGGCTGGGCGCCTTTTCATCTGGTCTTTCACTGATAGGTGTAGGTTCTGTTTCTTTGATAGGACTGGGCTCTTTAACGTCAACTTTCTTGTCTTTTAGCACCTCTACAGGGCTAGGGGCCTTTTCATCATGTTTTTCACTGACAATCTTAGGTTCAGTTTCTTTGACAGGGCTGGGCTCCTTTTCGTCAATTTTCTTTTCCTTGACCTCCTCTATAGGACTAGGCGTCTTTTTATCTGGTTTTTCAGTGATAGGCGTCGGTTCTGTTTCTTTGATAGGGCTTGGATCTTTAACGTCAACTTTCTTTTCCTTGATTTCCTCTACAGGGCTAGGCAACTTTTCGTCTGATTTCTCAGTAATAGGTTTAGGCTCTGTTTCTTTGACAGGGCTGGGCTCCTTTTCGTCATGTTTCTTTTCCTTGAACTCCTCTACGGGACTAGGCGTCTTTTTATCTTGTTTACCAGTGATAGGCGTCGGTTCTGTTTCTTTGAGAGGGCTTGGCTCCTTGACGTCAAGTACCTCGTCTTTGAGCTCGTCAACAGGGCTGGGCGCCTTTTCACCTGGTTTTTCACTTATAGGTGTAGGTTCTGTTTCTTTGATAGGACTGGGCTCTTTAACGTCAACTTTCTTGTCTTTAACCACCTCTACAAGGCTAGGGGCCTTTTCATCGTGTTTTTCACTGACAGGCTTAGGTTCAGTTTCTTTGACAGGGCTGGGCTGCTTTTCGTCAAGTTTCGTTTCCTTGACCTCCTCTATAGGACTAGGTATCTTTTTGTCTCGTTTTTCAGTGATAGAGGTCGGTTTTGTTTCTTTGGTGGGGCTAGGCTCCTTAACGTCAAGTTTCTTTTCCTTGATCTCCTCTACAGGGCTAGGCACCTCTTCGTCTGATTTCTTGGTAACAGGTATAGGTTCTGTTACTTTGAGAGGGCTTGGTTCCTTGACGTCAAGTATGTCGTCTTTGAGCTCGCCAACAGGACTGGCCGCCTTTTCATCTGGTTTTTCACTGATAGGTGTAGGTTCTGTTTCTTTGATAGGACTGGGCTCTTTAACGTCAGCTTTCTTGTCTTTTAGCACCTCTACAGGGCTAGGGGCCTTTTCATCATGTTTTTCACTGACAGGCTTAGGCTCTGTTTCTTTGACAGGGCTGGGCTCCTTTTCGTCATGTTTCTTTTCCTTGAACTCCCCTATAGGACTAGGCGTCTTTTTATCTTGTTTTCCAGTGATAGGCGTCGGTTCTGTTTCTTTGATAGGGCTTGGCTCCTTAACGTCAACTTTCTTTTCCTTGATTTCCTCTACAGGGCTAGGCAACTTTTCGTCTGATTTCTCAGTAATAGGTTTAGGTTCTGTTTCTTTGAGAGGGCTTGGCTCCTTGACGTCAAGTACCTCGTCTTTGAGCTCTTCAACAGGGCTGGGCGCCTTTTCACCTGTTTTTTCACTGATAGGTGTAGGTTCTGTTTCTTTGATAGGACTGGGCTCTTTAACGTCAACTTTCTTGTCTTTTAGCACCTCTACAGGGCTAGGGGCCTTTTCATCATGTTTTTCACTGACAGGCTTAGGTTCAGTTTCTTTGACAGGGCTGGGCTCCTTTTCGTCAATAGGGCTATTTTCACTGACAGGCTTAGGTTTAGTTTCTTTGACAGGGCTGGGCTCCTTTTCGTCAATTTTCTTTTCCTTGACCTCCTCTATAGGACTAGGCGTCTTTTTATCTGGTTTTTCAGTGATAGGCGTCGGTTCTGTTTCTTTGATAGGGCTTGGATCTTTAACGTCAAGTTTTTTTTCCTCGATCTCCTTTACAGGGCTAGAAACCTTTTCGTCTGATTTCGCAGTAATAGGTTCAGGCTCTGTTTCTTTGACAGGGCTGGGCTCCTTTTCGTCATGTTTCTTTTCCTTGAACTCCTCTACAGGACTAGGCGTCTTTTTATCTTGTTTTCCAGTGATAGGCGTCGGTTCTGTTTCTTTGATAGGGCTTGGCTCCTTAACGTCAACTTTCTTTTCCTTGATTTCCTCTACAGGGCTAGGCAACTTTTCGTCTGATTTCTCAGTAATAGGTTTAGGTTCTGTTTCTTTGAGAGGGCTTGGCTCCTTGACGTCAAGTACCTCGTCTTTGAGCTCTTCAACAGGGCTGGGCGCCTTTTCACCTGTTTTTTCACTGATAGGTGTAGGTTCTGTTTCTTTGATAGGACTGGGCTCTTTAACGTCAACTTTCTTGTCTTTTAGCACCTCTACAGGGCTAGGGGCCTTTTCATCATGTTTTTCACTGACAGGCTTAGGTTCAGTTTCTTTGACAGGGCTGGGCTCCTTTTCGTCAATTTTCTTTTCCTTGACCTCCTCTATAGGACTAGGCGTCTTTTTATCTGGTTTTTCAGTGATAGGCGTCGGTTCTGTTTCTTTGATAGGGCTTGGATCTTTAACGTCAAGTTTTTTTTCCTCGATCTCCTTTACAGGGCTAGAAACCTTTTCGTCTGATTTCGCAGTAATAGGTTCAGGCTCTGTTTCTTTGACAGGGCTGGGCTCCTTTTCGTCATGTTTCTTTTCCTTGAACTCCTCTACAGGACTAGGCGTCTTTTTATCTTGTTTTCCAGTGATAGGCGTCGGTTCTGTTTCTTTGATAGGGCTTGGCTCCTTAACGTCAACTTTCTTTTCCTTGATTTCCTCTACAGGGCTAGGCAACTTTTCGTCTGATTTCTCAGTAATAGGTTTAGGCTCTGTTTCTTTGACAGGGCTGGGCTCCTTTTCGTCAAGTTTCTTTCGTCTTGAGCTCCTCAACGGGACTGGGCGCCTTTTCACCTGGTTTTTCACTGATAGGTGTAGGTTCTGTTTCTTTGATAGGACTGGGCTCTTTAACGTCAACTTTCTTGTCTTTTAGCACCTCTACAGGGCTAGGGGCCTTTTCATCATGTTTTTCACTGACAGGCTTAGGTTCAGTTTCTTTGACAGGGCTGGGCTCCTTTTCGTCAATTTTCTTTTCCTTGACCTCCTCTATAGGACTAGGCGTCTTTTTATCTGGTTTTTCAGTGATAGGCGTCGGTTCTGTTTCTTTGATAGGGCTTGGATCTTTAACGTCAAGTTTTTTTCCTCTAGCTCCTTTACAGGGCTAGAAACCTTTTCGTCTGATTTCACTGTAATAGGTTTAGGCTCTGTTTCTTTGACAGGGCTGGGCTCCTTTTCGTCATGTTTCTTTTCCTTGAACTCCTCTACAGGACTAGGCGTCTTTTTATCTTGTTTTCCAGTGATAGGCGTCGGTTCTGTTTCTTTGATAGGGCTTGGCTCCTTAACGTCAACTTTCTTTTCCTTGATTTCCTCTACAGGGCTAGGCAACTTTTCGTCTGATTTCTCAGTAATAGGTTTAGGTTCTGTTTCTTTGAGAGGGCTTGGCTCCTTGACGTCAAGTACCTCGTCTTTGAGCTCTTCAACAGGGCTGGGCGCCTTTTCACCTGTTTTTTCACTGATAGGTGTAGGTTCTGTTTCTTTGATAGGACTGGGCTCTTTAACGTCAACTTTCTTGTCTTTTAGCACCTCTACAGGGCTAGGGGCCTTTTCATCATGTTTTTCACTGACAGGCTTAGGTTCAGTTTCTTTGACAGGGCTGGGCTCCTTTTCGTCAATTTTCTTTTCCTTGACCTCCTCTATAGGACTAGGCGTCTTTTTATCTGGTTTTTCAGTGATAGGCGTCGGTTCTGTTTCTTTGATAGGGCTTGGATCTTTAACGTCAAGTTTTTTTTCCTCGATCTCCTTTACAGGGCTAGAAACCTTTTCGTCTGATTTCGCAGTAATAGGTTTAGGCTCTGTTTCTTTGACAGGGCTGGGCTCCTTTTCGTCATGTTTCTTTTCCTTGAACTCCTCTACAGGACTAGGCGTCTTTTTATCTTGTTTTCCAGTGATAGGCGTCGGTTCTGTTTCTTTGATAGGGCTTGGCTCCTTAACGTCAACTTTCTTTTCCTTGATTTCCTCTACAGGGCTAGGCAACTTTTCGTCTGATTTCTCAGTAATAGGTTTAGGTTCTGTTTCTTTGAGAGGGCTTGGCTCCTTGACGTCAAGTATCTCGTCTTTGAGCTCTTCAACAGGGCTGGGCGCCTTTTCACCTGTTTTTTCACTGATAGGTGTAGGTTCTGTTTCTTTGATAGGACTGGGCTCTTTAACGTCAACTTTCTTGTCTTTTAGCACCTCTACAGGGCTAGGGGCCTTTTCATCATGTTTTTCACTGACAGGCTTAGGTTCAGTTTCTTTGACAGGGCTGGACTCCTTTTCGTCAATTTTCTTTTCCTTGACCTCCTCTATAGGACTAGGCGTCTTTTTATCTGGTTTTTCAGTGATAGGCGTCGGTTCTGTTTCTTTGATAGGGCTTGGATCTTTAACGTCAAGTTTTTTTTCCTCGATCTCCTTTACAGGGCTAGAAACCTTTTCGTCTGATTTCGCAGTAATAGGTTTAGGCTCTGTTTCTTTGACAGGGCTGGGCTCCTTTTCGTCATGTTTCTTTTCCTTGAACTCCTCTACAGGACTAGGCGTCTTTTTATCTTGTTTTCCAGTGATAGGCGTCGGTTCTGTTTCTTTGATAGGGCTTGGCTCCTTAACGTCAACTTTCTTTTCCTTGATTTCCTCTACAGGGCTAGGCAACTTTTCGTCTGATTTCTCAGTAATAGGTTTAGGTTCTGTTTCTTTGAGAGGGCTTGGCTCCTTGACGTCAAGTACCTCGTCTTTGAGCTCTTCAACAGGGCTGGGCGCCTTTTCACCTGGTTTTTCACTGATAGGTGTAGGTTCTGTTTCTTTGATAGGACTGGGCTCTTTAACGTCAACTTTCTTGTCTTTTAGCACCTCTACAGGGCTAGGGGCCTTTTCATCATGTTTTTCACTGACAGGCTTAGGTTCAGTTTCTTTGACAGGGCTGGGCTCCTTTTCGTCAATTTTCTTTTCCTTGACCTCCTCTATAGGACTAGGCGTCTTTTTATCTGGTTTTTCAGTGATAGGCGTCAGTTCTGTTTCTTTGATAGGGCTTGGATCTTTAACGTCAAGTTTTTTTTCCTCGATCTCCTTTACAGGGCTAGAAACCTTTTCGTCTGATTTCTCAGTAATAGGTTTAGGCTCTGTTTCTTTGACAGGGCTGGGCTCCTTTTCGTCATGTTTCTTTTCCTTGAACTCCTCTACAGGACTAGGCGTCTTTTTATCTTGTTTTCCAGTGATAGGCGTCGGTTCTGTTTCTTTGATAGGGCTTGGCTCCTTAACGTCAACTTTCTTTTCCTTGATTTCCTCTACAGGGCTAGGCAACTTTTCGTCTGATTTCTCAGTAATAGGTTTAGGTTCTGTTTCTTTGAGAGGGCTTGGCTCCTTGACGTCAAGTACCTCGTCTTTGAGCTCTTCAACAGGGCTGGGCGCCTTTTCACCTGGTTTTTCACTGATAGGTGTAGGTTCTGTTTCTTTGATAGGACTGGGCTCTTTAACGTCAACTTTCTTGTCTTTTAGCACCTCTACAGGGCTAGGGGCCTTTTCATCATGTTTTTCACTGACAGGCTTAGGTTCACTTTCTGTGACAGGGCTTGGCTCCTTGACGTCAAGTATCTCGTCTTTGAGCTCATCAACAGGACTGGACGCCTTTTCATATGGTTTTTCACTGAGAGGCGTAGGTTCTATTTCTTTGATAGGACTGGGCTCTTTAACGTCAACTTTCTTGTCTTTTACCACCTCTACAGGGCTAGGGGCCTTTTCATCGGGTTTTTCACTGACAGGCTTAGGTTCAGTTTCTTTGACAGGACTGGGTTCCTTTTCGTCAAGTTTCTTTTCCTTGATCTCCTCTACAGGACTAGGCGTCTTTTTATCTGGTTTTCCAGTGATAGGCGTCGGTTCTGTTTCTTTGATATGGCTTGGTTCCTTAACGTCAAGATTCTTTTCCTTGATTTCCTCTACAGGGCTAGGCACCTTTTCGTCTGATTTCTCAGTAATAGGTTTAGGTTCTGTTTCTTTGAGAGGGCTTGGCTCCTTGACGTCAAGTATCTCGTCTTTGAGCTCGTCAACAGGGCTGGGCGCCTTTTCATCTGATTTTTCACTAATAGGCGTAGGTTCTGCGTCTTTGATAGGACTGGGCTCTTTAACGTCAACTTTCTTGTCTTTTACCACCTCTACAGGGCTAGGGGCCTTTTCATCGGGTTTTTCACTGACAGGCTTAGGTTCAGTTTCTTTGACAGGACTGGGTTCCTTTTCGTCAAGTTTCTTTTCCTTGAACTCCTCTACAGGACTAGGCGTCTTTTTATCTGGTTTTCCAGTGATAGGCGTCGGTTCTGTTTCTTTGATATGGCTTGGTTCCTTAACGTCAAGATTCTTTTCCTTGATTTCCTCTACAGGGCTAGGCACCTTTTCGTCTGATTTCTCAGTAATAGGTTTAGGTTCTGTTTCTTTGAGAGGGCTTGGCTCCTTGACGTCAAGTATCTCGTCTTTGAGCTCGTCAACAGGGCTGGGCGCCTTTTCATCTGATTTTTCACTAATAGGCGTAGGTTCTGCGTCTTTGATAGGACTGGGCTCTTTAACGTCAACTTTCTTGTCTTTTAGCACCTCTACAGGGCTAGGGGCCTTTTCATCGGATTTTTCACTGACAGGCTTAGGTTCAGTTTCTTTGATAGGGCTGGGCTCCTTTTCGTCAAGTTTTTTTTCCTTCACACTCTCCACAGGACTAGGCGTCTCTTTATATGGTTTTTCAGTGAAAGGCGTCGGTTCTGTTCCTTTGATAGGGCTTGGCTCCTTAACGTCAAGTTTCTTTTCCTTGATCTCCTCTACAGGGCTAGGCACCTTTTCGTTTGATTTCTCAGTAACAGGTTTAGGTTCCGTTTCTTTGAGAGGGCTTGGCTCCTTGACGTCAAGTATCTCGTCTTTGAGCTCGTCAACAGGGCTGGGCACCATTTCATCTGGTTTTTCACTGATAGGCGTAGGTTCTGTTTCTTTGATAGGACTGGGCTCTTTCACGTCAACTTTCTTGTCTTTTAGCACCTCTACAGGGCTTGGAGCCTTTTCGTCATGTTTTTCACTGATAGGCTTAGGTTCTAATTCTTTGACAAGGCTTGGCTCCTTAACGTCAAGTTTCTTTTCCTTGATCTCCTCTATAGGGCTAGGCACCTTTTCGTCTGATTTCTCAGTAACAGGTTTAGGTTCCGTTTCTTTGAGAGGGCTTGGCTCCTTGACGTCAAGTTTCTTTTCCTTGATCTCCTCTACAGGGCTAGGTACCTTTTCGTCTGATTTCTCAGTAATAGGTTTAGGTTCTGTTTCTTTGAGAGGGCTTGGCTCCTTGACGTCAAGTATCTCGTCTTTGAGCTCGTCAACAGGGCTGGGCGCCTTTTCATCTGATTTTTCACTAATAGGCGTAGATTCTGCGTCTTTGATAGGACTGGGCTCTTTAACGTCAACTTTCTTGTCTTTTACCACCTCTACAGGGCTAGGGGCCTTTTCATCGGGTTTTTCACTGACAGGCTTAGGTTCAGTTTCTTTGACAGGACTGGGTTCCTTTTCGTCAAGTTTCTTTTCCTTGATCTCCTCTACAGGACTAGGCGTCTTTTTATCTGGTTTTCCAGTGATAGGCGTCGGTTCTGTTTCTTTGATATGGCTTGGTTCCTTAACGTCAAGATTCTTTTCCTTGATTTCCTCTACAGGGCTAGGCACCTTTTCGTCTGATTTCTCAGTAATAGGTTTAGGTTCTGTTTCTTTGAGAGGGCTTGGCTCCTTGACGTCAAGTATCTCGTCTTTGAGCTCGTCAACAGGGCTGGGCGCCTTTTCATCTGATTTTTCCCTAATAGGCGTAGGTTCTGCGTCTTTGATAGGACTGGGCTCTTTAACGTCAACTTTCTTGTCTTTTAGCACCTCTACAGGGCTAGGGGCCTTTTCATCGGATTTTTCACTGACAGGCTTAGGTTCAGTTTCTTTGACAGGGCTTGGCTCCTTTTCGTCAAGTTGTTTTTCCTTGACCTCCTTTATAGGACTAGGCGTCTTTTCATCTTGTTTCTTACTGATAGGCGTAGTTTCTGTTTCTTTGATAGGGCTTGGCTCCTTAACGTCAACTTTCATTTCCTTGATCTCCTCTCCAGGGCTAGGCACCATTTTGTCTGATTTCTCAGTAATAGGTTTAGGTCCTGTTTCTTTGACAGGGCTGGGCTCCTTTTCGTCACGTTTCTTTTCCTTGACCTCATCTACAGGACTAGGCGTCTTTTTATCTGGTTTTTCAGTAATAGGCATCGGTTCTATTTCTTTGATAGGGCTTGGCTCCTTAACTTCAAGTTTCTTTTTCTTGACTTCCTCTACTAGGCTAGGCACCTTTTCGTTTGATTTCTCAGTAATAGGTTTGGATTCTGTTTCTTTGAGAGGGCTTGGCTCCTTGACGTCAAGTATCTCGTCTTTGACCTCGCCAACAGGACTAGGCGCCTTTTCATCTGGTTTTTTAGTGATAAGTTTTGGTTGCGTTTCTTTAATTGGACTGGGCTCTTTAACGTCTACTTTCTTCTCTTTTAGTACCTCTACAGGGCTAGGCGGCTTTTCATCGTGTTCTTTACTGACAGGCATAGGTTCAGTTTCTTTGACAGGACTGGGCTGCTTTTCGTCAAGTTTCTTTTCCTTGACCTCCTCTATAAGACTAGGCGTCTTTTTATCTAGTTTTTCAGTGATAGATTTAGGTTCTGTTTCTTTGGCAGGGCTTGGCTCCTTTTCGTCATGTTTCTTTTCTTTGACCTCCTCTACAGTACTAGGCACCTTTTCGTCTAGTTTTTCTATGATAGGCTTAGGTTCTGTTTCTTTGACGGGGCTGGGCTCTTTAAAGTCAAGTTTCTTGTCTGTTACCTCCTCCACAGGGCTAGGCGACTTTTCGTCTAGTTTTTCTGTGATAGGTTTAGGTTCCGTTTCTTTTACAGGGCTGGGCTCCTTAATATCAAGTTTCTTTTCCTTGACCTTTTCTACAGGGCTAGGGGCTTTGTCATCTGGTTTTTCAGTGACAGGCTTAGGTTCTGATACTTTGACAGACCTGGCCCCCATAACGTCAAATTTCTTATCTTTGATCTCCTCTTCAGGGCTATGTGACTTTTCGTGTGTTTTTTTACTAACAAGTGCATGCTCTTTTTCTTTCACAGAACTGGGAGCTTTTTCGTCAAGTTTCTTATAGACTGGTTCTTCTTTGACCTCCTCAACAGGGCTAGACGCCTTTTTATCTGGCTTTTCAGTGATAGGTTTAGGTTCTGCTTTTATTTCGGGACTGGGCATCTTTACGTCAATTTGTTTTGCAATAGGCTCTTCTTTGAATGCATGTATATCCTTTTCTTGAGTTGTATCAGATATTAACTCCATCTGTTTCTCTTTTGTTTGGCTTAGTTCTTTGTCCGATGTTGAAGACGCTGATATATCCTTTGGTTTGGATATATTAAGCTTGTTTTGTATTATAGATATGTCATGAATTACTTGTTCTTGTTTTAAGTCTTTGATATGTTTCGTGGACATAATTATTACCTTTAGTACTTTTTCATTTGTTATTCTTTGTGTTACTGAATTATAATCGCCATATAATACTCTTGTTATTGTAACAGTTTCTGTATTTTTATCCGAGAAATAAATTGTATTTATAATTTCCTCTGTGGTTTTTACTTTTTTCCTTAATTTCATTTGATTAGTTACGTATTCTTTTGTTATTTTTGTACAAGTTTTTTGGACTATTTGTCGACCATTGTGAATTATATTTTTTTCTTGTATCTGTTCTTGAGTTGACGTATCTTCTTTTATATTAAATCTCCTTACTTCTGCAGCGACCTTATCGTCTAATTCAGTTAAAGTGGTATTTCCATCAACCTCCGTAGAAATTGTACCATCCGGACGGCTATCAGATATTGTGATCACGGTTATGGTTCTTAACTTTCTGACAATTCCATAGCTATCTGCATATTTCGTTTTTATTGTTCGTGTTATTGTAGTTCGTACAATTTGAGTTCGTTCTACAATAATTTTCTCAGTTTTAACTGTGACATTTTCCTCTGGTTTCCCGTATTCGGAAAAATCACGAAGAACTTCTTCAATTTCTCTTTGAGAAGAAATAAGAGCAATAATGTAATTTTCGAAAGGTTTGACTGTGCTTATCACTGTTTCACTTATTTGTTCAGGAGATAATATTTTTTCTTCTGGTTTTTGGGTTTCAGCTTTAACAACTGTGTCCTCATGTTCAATAGACTTGTCACTTTTTTTAGTAAATAATCCTTTTGCTTTACTTATTTTTTCATCAAATTTATTCATAAAACTACTTATCATAGATTTACTTTCCTTTTTCTTCTCCTCCAATTTATCCTGCTTTCCTTCATTACTATCAATTTTTAAGAGTTTGTCATCATCCTTAGAGATTTTTCTCGTATCTTTGTCTAAACTTACTTGATTTGCATCAAGTTTGTCAGAAACGATAGGGAGTATAGTGTCTTTTACATCAGCTACCAGATGTTTTGATGAATCTTTAACATCTTGTATTAAATCAGGACTTATTGTTTCCTTTAACGTATCCGGTATCGATTTAGCTATTTCCTCCGCTGTTTCACAAACTTTTTCTTTTTTCTTTTTTTTATCCTCAGTAACAAGTTCTTTCTCAAGAGCTTCACTGAGTGAAATATCCATTTTAGGGCTAAATGGTTCGATGACAATCTTATCTTTAATATCTGGTTCGTCGACTTTAACTGTGGTGTGTGTAGTTAATAAATCTATACCAGATAATATTTTATTTTTTTCGGCTACTTCAATTAGGTTTTGATCTTCTTTGCTCTTTAAATCAGCCATTTTTTCCTCAAGCTTTTCTAATGTCTTAGCCGAGTCTAAAGTTACACTTAGTCTTTTCTCAATTTGAGTGTCTATTTCATCTTTTTCTTTTTTTAACCCATCTTTCTCTGTTGCCAGCGTTGTTTCTGCAGAAAATCCATTAATTGGAACTTTTTCTTTATCGAGACTTTTAGTTTGCGTTGTTTCTTTAACTTCTCTTTTGATTCTTTTGCCTTCACTCAAAACCGTTTTATCAGATACATCACTTATATCTTCAGATGTTACTGATCGTACTGGAGAAATTTCTTTTTGCGATTTTTTTTGTAATGCGATGTCACTTCCTGAAGTTTCTTGTTGACTAATAATTTTGTCTCGTTCTTCATATAAAAACGTTTTTGCAGCTTCAATAGTGCTGACTTCAGAGACTTTACTAAATATATCAGGAGATTTCCGAAGAATTGGTGACTTTTCTGCTATTAGTTCTTCCAGGCTTTTATCAGATTTCAATACTTCAGCAACGTCTGCGACTATCTTTTCGACATCTTTTGGACTTAGTAGAGGTTTTTCAACAGATTCCAATTTGCGAGCTTCTTCTATTTCCTTTTCAACATCTTCAGGTATTGAGGGTATTTTTTCGGGCATAGTAGAAATTTCATCAACAACAAGCAAATCTTCTTTGATTGGCGAGTCGATAGTCGTTATGTGAGTCTCTCTTAGTTTTTCTGTATATTGTCCGTAGTCAAAAGCAGAATCCTCATATTCTTTTACAGGTTCTAAGTCTTTCCCTTGAATTAGTGTAACTTTCATATGGTCTTGATACATCGGTGACTCGGGTGCCGAGCCAGGAGTAACTGTTACCAATTCTGCATGAGACGGACGTACAGTTTTAATGATAACATCATCTTGAATTGCACTAGTTTCTTTATATGGCATTGGTGCATGTTTTCCAACGATAGCTAAGTCGCTAGGTATTTTCATTTCATGATCTAAGCTCACATCTAATTTCTGTTTGAAATCATCATCGAGTGGTGTTTTCTTTTCTTCATAAGTACGATAGTCAACTTCTTCATGCAACGGTAAATCAGCGACTTCATCTGGAGTTTTTACTATTTCTCTTATGGGTCCGGGAAGAGGCGCAATTCTAGGACTTTTCTCCGATAAAATGAATTTTTGTGTATCAATGAGAGTTCGTGGAGGAATTACTTCTTTAGTTTCTTCCTTAACATGTTTCTCTTCAACGTGTTGGTCCTCTTTTATATCATCTAATGGAATACGCTCATCCTCAGGAAGAGTTGGTGCAGTAGTTGCACCAGACTCTATAGTAGTAGACACTTTTTCATCTGGATGTGATTCTTGGATAATATTTTCAAGGGAATCTTTAGGTTTAATCATACCACTTTTACTCTCAGATGTTTTCTTTTCGCTGCTTACATCTTGTTTTTCTTCTACACTCACCGATTGCTCTTTAGATTCCGCTTCTTTATCGGTAACTTTTTCAAGTTTTACCTTGTCATCTACTCGCTCAAATTGATCGTCCTTATCTGTTTTCCTTTTTTCGGATTCTTCTTTGTCTTTTAAATGTTTTTGTAATTCATCTTCTTTTTCATGACTGCTTTCTCTATCAGCAATTGATTCTTCTGTATATTGATCTACTTCTTCTTTTTCAATAATAAGATATTCTTCTTCAAATTCACCATCAGCGGTGGTTTCAGTTTTGGCATCGTCTAATAAACAAGTGATCTTTTCAATATCAGATCTGCCGACAAATTCGATTTTCTCCTCAGCTTCGCTATCTCTATTAAATACTGCTTCAATTTCTCTTACAATTTCTTGTTCTTCTCTTTCATCTAACTCTTGCTGTTTAATGTCATCAAGTGATCTAGATGTTTCTTCATCTGATTTTTTAGCTTCTTTTAAAATATCCTCATAATTTACTCTTTGTAAACCTTTTAATTTTGATGTGTCTGACTTAATTGTTTTCATCGATTTCGTAGGACTTTTTAAGCCTTTCATTCCTTTAATAGGTGATGCTAAAGGTCTTGGTCTTCGAGAAATAGGCTCTCGTTTTGTTTTCGTTTCTTTCTTATCTAAAGTTTTCTGTGTAACATCCCGTTTTGGTGAAACTTGTTTGTATTTTGATTCAGCAACTCTTCTATTATTTGCTTCTTTCATACTTTTGGCTGGAGTGCTGCCTGGACTCAATTTCCTTGTTTTTGATTTAATTTTATCTTTTACTATACTTGTAGGTGTTTTTGTATCTATTGTTTTCTTTGGTGTTGTGGGAGGAGATTTTTTATCATCTCTTTTGTCAATTATTGTTGAAGTGGTCTTTTTCTCAGTTGTCCTAGCCATCCTTTGGCTTACTTTACTTTTGCTTACTGTTGACGTCATCGTTTCCATTTTTAATTTTTCTGGCTTTTTCTTTATTTCAGGTTTTGTTTTACTATCAGTTTCAGATTTCTTCAAATCAGTGCTTTTGTATAAAGAGTCTTTAATATCATCAGTCTTTTCGACACGTTTTGTTTTCTTATCCACAACTTTTTTCTTCGCGTCTTTTTTTTTCGGCAGGCCGTCTACGACAGTGCTCTCGTATTGAGCAAACTTATCATCTAACTTAGTATCTACTCTGGCAGTAATGGCTTCTTGTAAAACTGATTCAATTCTCTTCTCTTCTCCATCTACTAATTCACTAAGTAGCTTATTGTCTAAGATATTTTTAGAATCTGTTTCATCTTTTACTAATTTAGATTCTTGTTCTATTAATTTTTCTTCTTTTTTCTCTATAAGAGAGGTCTTTTCTTTGATAGTTTTTGTTGTAATAGGTTTAGTGGTTCTTGTAACTGTAGTCGAGGTCGTTACAGGTACAGTTGGGACTGGCGCCATTTGTCGTCCTGTATATGTGGGATGTTGTAAGAATTCTAAATGCCTTAGCCGTTCAAGTCCTTCAAATATTTTGTGTTGAGGAGTTGATCCAGGGAACATTATTCTAGTTATTGTATCGTCTGGATTCGCTGGTCGCCATACTAGAAGTGCACATATTGAAACTAAATTTGGAATTGGAAAATTGAACTGTCCTGATATACTCGCGCCTTCAAAAAGTTTTTGTTCACTATTGTGCCATCTTTTGAGAAATTCTCTAACGTATTTGGAGTCCTTGGACGGATTTAGTACATACATATCTAAGGTTCCTGAAAACAGAAAACAATATGTTGTTAGAAAAAATATTTTTATTTAAATATTTCACATAACTTTAAGTTATAATAATATAATTAAAAAATAAATGAAATGTAAGGAATAGATATATTATATTACTGCTCCACCCCCTTGGGTAGTAGCATGATGTGTACATTATATATATAGTATAGCCTTCCTCAATAAATGGGCTTATCTAATGCAAAAAGAATTTTTCAAATCGGATTAGTAGTTCATGAGATTAGCACGTTCCAACAAACAAGCAAACAAACAAAAAAATAAGTGCCTATAATATTAGTACAGATATATTTAAAAAAATCTTACCATGGCCAACTTTATGATATAAATTAATAGGCTCGGGACTTCTGTAGCAGTGTTGTGGTTTCAGGTTTATATGCCGGAGGTCGGTCATCATGTCTGAACCTGTTTGTAGCAGTGAGACCAGCAGAGGGTCTGCATCTTTGTCGCCATCGGGACTGGCGAGAGAGCGACGTTCCTGAAATTTTGTATGGGTTTTGAATTAATAATAATTATATCATCCCGATCGATTTCGACCACAGCATCCAACCTTACTAGCTATCTGCGCATTAGATATTGTAGCGCACAATTATGTATAGTTTAGTAGCACTTTCAAATATCGGTGACACATTTTGAGATGACGACGACAATTTCACATGGTGAGGGATTAGGTTAAGACATACCTACATCCCTCCCAACGTGTGTTCACCTTGTCGTGGTGGGGTGCTCAGTAGTGCCCGGCAATACAGCCGGGCGCGAAGCCAAGTGTAAGGAGGGGACTAGGTAATTAATATGATTAGATGTTTACAGTTCGAAGATCCATTTATTACTACACTACATTCTATGAGTTGTCTAATTTTATACTATATAATAATCACTACACCACACAAGAAACGCCCACTTCGGTGGGCAGTGTACCAAGCGGGTTGTTCCTGGTTGTTCTCCGATAGCAGAGTGGAATTTGGAGCAACCCCGTGGTAGTTGTAGTTTGTTTCTCTGGGGCGTCGTAGTTGAGTGCGTACGCGATCCTGCGACACTCCATTAAGACAGGGGAGGTTTCGATGAGTTTTAGTGAGTAGTACTGGTTTTTCTCGCCGGTGAGTCCCATATAACCACCTGTATGTATACAGGTGGTATGCATAAATGCATTTCCCAACATTAAAAAACAAAAATAAGGACATACCTACATACTGTCTGAGTTAAGCTACGAAGAATAGTAATAAAATTTCACATTAAACTTTCTTATTCAATATCTTTAAATACATGTTGTTAATGGAAAAGTTACAAGTCTAATTATAATAAAAAAAAACCACCGCAAATCTCAAGTTTGCTTAGATGAATCCTAATTACGATACATTTAAGGTAGGTATATTATATAAGTTGTGGCCAAGTACGAAAATTACCCCACGACACTCCATTCGTAATTTATTACTTAGGATTTTATTAGACTTAAGACCTACTCCTTAATAATTAAGAGTCCCACATAAGCGCAAAAATTAATGTCTTTTAATGTAGGTTTTACAATGTCCATGCCAAAGACAAATTCCTAGTGCAAATGCTACCTACGTATATTTAGGTTAATACAAAAGGAAGTATTTCTAGGGACTTATCCAATGTGCAATATATATTTTCTAAGCGACTTTGTGGCTGTAGCAATAGTTTTAATATTTGTCTAAAAATGTTTTTTTTTTTAGGTTTCATCAAAATCGATTTAGCCTTTTTTCCATATAATTCGAAATTTTCAAATGAATAAACATAATATTTACTCACTTCAAGGTTACAGAAGAAGTGTCCAATCTGGGGATATACACTCGCAGTGGCTTTACGATGTAGCACCGATGCCATACCGGAGGCTGAGCAGTTATTGAGCCGAGTGAAGAGGACTGCGTCTAGTCTGTCCAAGTGTCGTGCAAAATCCCACCAGCAAGCCTTACGTGAAAATCCGCCGTCAACTGAAACGTGAAATAATGTATGTTAGTTAAACGTAGAATTAAATTTTGTTTCCCAAAACAAAAATCCAAATAAATCCGAAAAGATAGTTTTATTTAAAATTTCAAATATTCGCGTAAATCTAAGAAAGTAGAATTAAATTGTTTATTTATGACTGTACATACGTTTTCATGGTTAGTATGGAATAGATAGACTATACAATATATTTTACATATAATACATAGGTATTATATGTTGTTGTGGGTTGTATTATAACGTGTTTTCCCGTGGGTATTAGATAATATCCCGCGGTAAAAAGTAGCCTATGTCACTCTCCAGCCCTCCAACTATCCCCTCACACAAATCACGCCAATCGGTCACTCCGTTTCGACGCGAAAGAAGGACAAACAAACGAGCAAACAAACAAACACACATTCACATTTATAATAATAGTATGGATATAAGTATGAATTAACAAACTTCCCTGAAGAAACAGGTAAAGTGTTTTGTGTTACCATCATAAAAATGGTTTATGACACTTGAATTATTTGTTAGACAACTACTATAAATGTGTTTGTATGTGTTTGTTTGATACTCTTTCACTTTGAAATGGCTGGACAGATTTGAAGGAAATTTAGTACATGATAGATTATAACCTGGAGTAAACATATGTTAGGTTAATTAGGATTATTTTTAATTTTAAATTTCATTTTCAATTTTGTGGGTGAAAACATAAAAAAAATGTCAAGTTGACCTTTTAATGATTGCTTAGGTTTGATTTGCATTGTAAAAATAACAATAAAACCCTGGTATAACTACAAAATCATACATACTTAATTAAATATTAATTATTATTTATAATTACAGATACAGTTAACAAGTAGAAATTTACTCGCATTCTTTCCATTCCATTCCTTAACTTAAATGTCAAAATCTAATCATCATTTATTTGATTTCTTGAAATGAAGGCAAGCTATCTTTAATGCGGACTAAATATCATAATATTTAAAATATTTTTTTTATTTCTTTTTCCTCTCACAAGTTGTATGCATTTTAACAAAAGTTAGTAAAATTAGTAATATTAGCTTGATATAGTTAAAGGTCACAGCTATGTATTTTCAGCTTTACAACTATGCATTGAAAAATAAGCATTCACTCGATAAACCTAATCCTGATTTAGATACATGTGTGTGTATGTATTCAGCCTTTTTTAACATCCCACAGCTGGGCACGGGCCTCTCTTTAATACAAGGGGGATCAGGCCATAGACCACCACTCTGGCCAAGTGCGGGTTGGCGGGCAAGATAGATGTAGCATGTATGTTTGTGTATTTAAAATGATTTTATACATAATTTTTGTTTTAATTCAATTACTTAATATCTTCTTCATTATTTTTATTTCTTAAATATTAAATTTCTATACAATCAGCTCATAGATGGTTCATGAGAACTGCTTGTTTGTGTGGTAAATTGGTAAATACAATCAGATCTTAATAAAACAATGATAAATATTATGCAGTCTCATTGCACATTTGCACACCATTAACAAACAATATACCAAATGATAAATATACCTGTTTACTGTATTACTATTTTTAATGAACATGCCTCACAAATCATGTTGCGGTTTCCGATGAAGCGAAATGATTTTAAAATAACATTCAATCTGCAGTATTGGAAATTTTAATTAATTTGTAGCTGGAATAAATGATAATTTATGGGGATTAAATCAAATATTGAATACATAAACGCTTGTAGCATAGCGAATTTTTAGAAAATTTATAAGCAAACTATTGATTTTCTAAATTATATATCTAAATTAGTCTTTTCTTTATCGTATTCCGTTATATAAATCAATATTATTAACATGGTCATGATATCATGACCTATCTTATTTAGCGTTAATAGCGTAATATTTTACACTCATTATTTCGTGCTGATTTAAAATTACTTAAATAAGTAGTACTTAAAAAGAACAAAGCCGGAATTTTTGTAAAGTGTAAACATAACCTTTGACATTAGCCTTGAACTTAATGTCATGTATATGTATTATGTTTATGTTCTTTGTCATTGTCAATTCGAAAAAAGGCGGCATGTTCATAGATAACCGTAAAAAATAAATAGAAAATCTTTTTGGACATTAAAAAATAATTATTTATAAACGTGTCATTAAGGTAATTTCAATAAAAACTTAAGATAAATAATCAAAAGTACCTACATTTGTCAAATACAAATTCAATTGAAATTAACATTTCGCCAAACATCATACACGCAAAAGGCATTTTTTGTGTTACATTTTATTCAACTTTTTTTAGCAAAAGAAAATTGACCGAGACTCCAATGCATCATTCAAAAAAAAAAACTTTTACCAAGTTAATTCTATATTCTTATTTCTTACAAGTACTTGAAATACTTGCTTTTATTCTGTTCTTTGCATTTTACCATTGTCAAAATACGTGAGATTCACAGTCTTATTCGATAATACGTAATGTAAAAAATCCTATCGAGTAATGCTATTTGCGCATTTAAGTTTTCGTTTTTTTTCCAAACAATTCAATATTATTTTTTATATAAAATTCTGATATTATTCTTATTGCTAGGTAATTGAAAAAAAAATATGTTGGGACTTTCATACACAGCACCATCTAGTTCCATGGTAAACTACGAGGCTTGTGTTATGGATACCAGATAGTTCATACACTACATATACATAACTTCAAATACACACATATGTATATATTATAAATATAAACATCCATGGCAGAAGTACAAACATTCGTGCTCATTACACAAATTAATGCCCTCAGCGGGACTCGAACCCACGACTGCTGGTACAATAAGTAGGGTCACTACAATCTGAACCAAACGTGTCGTCGAAAATGTGTTAACATGTACTGACTAAGTGTATTATAACTTTAACTCATAATTAAGCAATAGAATAATTATTAGTATTTAATACATTTCATCCTTAATAGGTATTCGCTTAGCATATAAATTGGGTCTTTTGATTCGACAGCTTTAGAGCGATAAACGCCAATATTGAATCCATATTCATAGATACTCGAAACATTTTGAACAAAATGAGCTCTCTTTTTTTCTCAGACTTAGAACAAAATCACTAGATTGAAGAATAAAGTTAAATAATAGCTTGTAAATACAAAAACTGTTGTCTTGTGAATTATATAGTAATACTAAAGTAATAACAGTAATAGTTGTGTAGTGTGTAGCTAGTCATGCGCGAAATGTTAAACTTCGTTGATGCTGCTTATACATATTTCATGTTCTGTGCCCGTGGTAGATGGAAAAATAAATTGGTCTGAATGACGTTCGATTCGCTTTCCTATGTTCGCTTCCGGAATACACTGGGAAATGGGCCGAGAAAGATTTTGTTTATATTTCGCTATAAAAGATGCATATACTGAATTAATGAAACTCTGTTTTTGACATTTTATGTTTTATTGCATGCTTTTAAAAGAATAGTAACTAAATCAAATCGCTGCGTTTTGTATATAATTATTTTTGCTGCAAATCCCGCAAATGCCAAAGGTGGATTCCGGTTAGAAATTTGACATGTACTGTAGTATGTATGTATGTATAAGTGTCTGTTCTTATGTTCCCTCGTAATTACTAAATGGCTAAACGGATTTTAAATTATTTATATATCGTTGATCTTGATATATTCTATCATAAGTATACTATTAAAAATCTAAATTGTGGATATCCGGAACCTATATACGTATTGATTTTTTTTCTTATAAATCTTATTGAGTGGGATGTCAAAATAAAGGAATTTAAAAGGCGATTATGCATCGTATACGTTAACTTACGTTATGCTTATAAAGAATTTGGTATGGCAAATTTGAAAAAAAAATTAAATTGGCTAACCGGATAAAAAAATATAATAAAATTATAATTTATACAGCTGTTAATAGAAAATTTAATGAATAAAAGCAAAAAAAAAACCAATTGCGTATAAAGAGAATTAAAAATATGAAAACAGGTTGACGAACGAAGATAGCATTATACAGTGAGAGACATTTGTCCATCCCCCAGCAAGGAAAAAGACGTACTTATTTTATAATTATAAAAGGATTTTTATTATTTTTGTAAATTGTATATTTCTTCCCAAAAACGATTTTCGAAACTATAGAGTAATAGAAATATAGTACCAACGTAATGAAAAGTAAAATGTCTTCCCTTTCTTATAATTATGAAAATATAGTAACTAAATAACTAATAAAAATAAAAGGTAGTTTAATTTGAATGCATAATTCTATTTTGACAGATGTTTTTTTTGATCTGTATCTATTTGTATTTGGACAATGGATTATGTAGGTAACCCTTTTCAACCGACTTCAAAAAGGAGGAGGTTCTCAATTCGACTGTATGTTTTTTTTTTTTTTTTATGTTTGTTACCTCAGAACTCCGTCATTTATTAAACGATTTGGACAATTTTTGTTTTGTTTGAAAGAGTATACTTCCAGATTGGTCCCATTTAAATTTCAAAAAAAAATACCACCCCTAAGGGTGGAAAAACAACTAATGATGAATTTAACCTACTTCTAATTGTCATATTGACTTGAAACTTTGCAAGTATTTCTATTTCCGTTGATAGTACAGTGGTTCGGTGTTGTTGACCTGATCTGATGGCAAGGCCAGAAGGTGGATAGGTGGAACTCTTCAACGGCTAATAGTAGATACTTTGAGTTTGGGCTTATTTTGTTTGATTTGACAAGCCTAACACGTTAGAATCCTTACTTTGCTACTACTGCCTACACTAAAAAGGGAAAAATAAAAACTTTTTAACAAAAAAATAAAAACCGACTTCAAACAAAAGCACTAAAAAGTAAAAAATAACTGATTGGTAGTTTTCATTTACTATACATACCTAATCAAATATTTTCGAAGTCGGTGTGCTTTGGCTAAGTAATTAAAGCCTACCTATTAAATACATACCTAATCAAATATTTTCGAAATCGGTGCCAGCCCATACAAAGCAAAGCACACCGACTTCGAAAATATTTGATTAGGTATGTATAGTAAATGAAAACTACCAATCAGTTATTTTTTACTTTTTAGTGCTTTTGTTTGAAGTCGGTTTTTATTTTTTTGTTAAAAAGTTTTTATTTATTTGGACATTTGACATTCAGAAGTTCCGGAATAATATTCAAAAAAATAATTAATTTTTATAATTATAATATCTTATGAATGCTGTATGAAATAAGAAAATAATGTTAAAGGTGAATATACGGATACAGCGAAGGGTCACTTAAACGTCAGGAGCTAAGAGCACTCTCCCTGAGTATCGAATTTCGAGTGAATGTGCTTCATGTATAAAAATATTTTTTTTTATTTACAAAATATCACACGCCGATTATAACATTAAGAAAATACGTAAAATAACATATACATTGTTCTGAGTGAAGATGTTTCAGTGGATACAATTACAAATTAAAAATCAAAAATGTTTTTGGGAGATTTTTTAGCTATTCTATAAAACATTCTCGTGTAGGATCCCTAATAAAATTTCGAGATATTCCTTGCTTATATTCTTATATTCAGTACTTTTACAATCGTCAGTGAGTTACATAATTTATAATCATAATTTTCAGTATTACAAACAATTCGTGACTAGTCACTACATGGTGGCACCGACATCTCTGCAAAAGCGCGGGAAAACTAATATCCGCGCCCTTTTTGTATTTTTTTTAAAACACATTCCTATCGGCCAAGGTCACATAACTAAATGCCTTATACATAAATCATTACAAATTAATCAAATATATTATTTTCCATTAAAACGCTCAATATATAAAAATGCTACCTTACACTAGGTATATCAAATCCATACATTTCTAAGACAGACAAATAAAAAATCAATTTGAAATATATTTTTACGTTGCGTATTACATACGTCGATGAAAATGCTACTTATAAAAGTATAGCCTCTATCACTGAACGAATTTTACCAGAGATTTAGTAGTTTCAGAGCTATATTCATACATGCAAACAAACAAATGCTCTAGTATTTTCACTGCCATTTCAACAACAGTCATCGTAGTTAATAAATTATAATACCACTACACGAAAACGTAGGAGGAAATAGATGTCGAATTTTCAACGCCTAACACAGGCATGAGTTTCTGCTGGCTGTCAGCCAAATATGAACAAAAGGGCAATCTCCGACGTAACTACCGAAAGGGTTTAAAATGCACCAACAATGCTAGCGACTAATAGCGCAGAATAATTCGAGACAACAATGCATATTACAATACTAGTTCATCGACTTCGTCTGAACTGCAATCTTTTTAAGAGCTTCCTCGAAAACAATGCGTAAATAAGTTGCCTATTATACCTAGGTATCATGGACGAAGTGGTTAATTCGTTCATGCTAGGCATCTACGAGTATATACAAGTATTTAACATTAACACCGTGTTCAAAAAAGGGTTTTTCCGAATATCTAAGAGGGATCAGTTAAGGTCAAATTTAAAGAAAAGTACCTAAGTATAGAATAATTCATTTTTAGTTTGTTCAAAATTCGTTTTAATGTTTTTGCTGACCAAATAGTTTTAGTAGGAGCACTCATTTAGTATTTCACTAAGCCCTAATAAACAAAGGTACAGTTCAAAATATCACATGAAACTATGATTCGAAAATAATACCGAAAAGGCTAAAACGTGCATCGCTTCAGTTAATCGCTGAAGAGCTTGTTTTTTTTTCGTCTCATGTCTGGCTCAACGCCAAACTTAGCCAAGTGCCGACTTTTTGGACCTGTTGTAACTTGTGACTTTGACTAAGACGTGTTTTTTCAGGTTATAAGTGTTCTGTCCTTATTTTTTTGATGTCTTAAATTGCCTAAATAGATATCCGTTTAATAGAGTTACAACGATATATTGTAGAAATAGATGTAGGCGGCGGTAGTGTATAAAGGAATAAGAGAACTTTTACTTTTCTTACTAAGATACCAGCTAATTAGCCAGTTAGTATCTTCTTTTGTGTAAACGTGAAACGTATAAAACCTTCTTTCAATTGTTTGGAGGCAGTGGCACAGTTGCTTGGAGTTACTGTGACAGCGATAAGACTTTTCATTTCTATGGTAGTAGGTTAAAATTATAAAAGAAAAATCTTTAAAAGAAATTTAAATCAGCAATTCCGGCGGGCTTTAACCTTGGCGAGTGTTGGAATGACGCCAAGAAGAATGTTAGTTCGAACCATTCTTTTTCAAGACATCAAATTACTTTTTACCATTTTATGTTTCAGACTTTATTACTGTATTATATCGTGATTCAAGGCTTTTTACAAATTCGTCGTTAATCATTTTGATTTTATTGCTACCATGATACGACGGTCTAGGTTTTTGGTAGGATTTATGTTTTCTAATACTAGTTTTTGATGATCTTTTAATGCTAAATGGCCTTTAGAGGTATACAGAAGCTCCATACATATTTAGTAGGGTCTGGGTTAAAAACGACAATGCTTTGACCTTCTATATACCTACGTTTTCGCTAACTAAGCTAGTTTTCTAAGCTTTGTTACATATTGTTAACTTTAACACTTCTTATTATAAATTACTTTTTTTACTATAGTATATTATTAAGTTACATATAAGTATAAATGCTAAATAGTAAATAATGCTTGAAATATACAGAAAAATAATAATTTTAACTTATAACAACGTGGAAGAAGAAACTCACCTAGCATGTTGAATCCGTTGATGCCAAACAAAGCGGCATCACCCTGGCCGCCAGGGAATACGTATAGAGTGGGGTGGCTGAATCGTATGTTGCCAACCACGTCGCTAGATACTAGGAGCTGTTCCAAGCTAGCTGGTACGATGTATGGGTCCAAGTATTCTGTGGATAGAAATTACAATTAATAACGTATAAAAATACCTATATTGTATTCAAATTTTTTTAAGGTTCCACTGCTGGGCATAGGTTTCCATTCAATATGAGACAGGATTATAGTGGATGTTCTCCTAGCCAATTCCGGCTACGGCGGCCAATCTCATTGAGACTAGCCAACTGCGCAGGAGATATTATAGTGCACAAGTGTACGCGCAGACACAAGTGCACTCTCTATTCCTGTCACTCTCATACTCCGGTGGGACGACTGCTCGACACGACCAGTGAGAGTTAAGGCGCAGGACCGACGGCTTTACGTGCTCTCCGAGGCACGGGGGTGAAACACCGTCAACTTCCCAACTCCGGGCTGTTACTGAGACTTACTATACAGAAAGACTCAATAACTAAACTTGGCCCGACCCGGGACTCGAACCCAGGACCTCCGGGTGTGCAGCCGTACATGCTAGCCACTACACCACCGAGGCAGTTGTTTGAAGGGAATATACCATAACCCATCACACTGGCAAAATATGAATTGGCAGACATCGTATATTTAACGAAAACTAGAATATTGAAATGTAGGTTTCTTCACAATTCATTTTTTCATGATAATCAGAGTTGGGAGACCAGGGCTTGAACTCATTTCCCTTGGGTTTTCAAGAGATTAGACTTACATATGTATGTATATGTCGATTATATTATCGATATTATAAGATGCGATTAGACTTAAGTAGGTATATAGCGTTATTCATTATTGTTACTAATCATCATTCGGATATGGATTTTCTACATTAAACAACCCAACACTACAAGAATTAGCGCTAATAATTAAATCCTTATAAGAGTTTAAACTACAAACTTTGGGTTCTTTCACAGAAATACCAAAAAATTGAATAAATTAGGTTAAGTTAAATCAAAACTGTTAATTGGTACGTAATAAAAGCCAGTCAATTTAAAATTTTCCAACTTTATAAGAGCCTTAAAAATTATACGTACTAAAGCACGGTTAGCGAAATTCACAATTGAGTCGTTAATCGTACAAAATGTTAAATAGAGGGTTTTGTAAATGTTCACTTGAAACTTTTCCTCTGGGATTCATTAGAGCTTTCCACCGACGGCGAGATAATGTTATTCTCAGAAATATTTCTTCTTTTCTCATAATGCAAATAAGATTAGGGTATTGTTTTAATGGAATGTAAATTACATTTTTGAAGTAAAAACTTTGGCAGATTTGGATGGGAAGTAAATTCACGTAAGTCGTCATCGACATGGTCACGTGACGTGTTAACGCTAACACCCAGAGTGCCGATAGATGTCAAAACCAGATAAATATAAACAGTTTTAATTTACAAATGTTAATTTAAAATCAAACAATTTGAATATTCAAAAATAACAACTTTTCTTTTTAGTTTTAAGTTCTCACTTCTGTCGGCATGTCATGACTGCTTTTGATATTTTTTTTGTATTGAGTTTCTTAACTCTACTGGGATCTGTTTATATTATCAATATTGTTTCATTCTTTTCTTTCCTTCTTTCCCTTTCTTCTTTTCTTATTATTCTCCTATTATTCTTCTTTTTGTTAAACCTTAAGAAAAAAACCCACTCAAAATTCGCATACGACAAATTAATTACGTAGCAAAATTTTTAGTGCCCCGTAAAATTCTATCATAGGAATTAAGGTGTTTCGAGTTTGTCGCTTATTAGATTGCCTAGGATAGGCCAGGCTAATAGCTTCGCAAAACAATTTAGGTCACTCACGTATACCTTCAAAGGTGTAATTCAGTTACTGCTGTACTATACATACTACATATATTAAATGTCAGGGTATGGCGAAGTCTCTGTAGCACTAAGAGTATCTGTGATAGTTTATTAGTTTTTACTGTCTTATTATATGTATATGCCAAAGTTTGTATGTATGTTTGTTTGTTTGTTACGCCTCCAAGCTGAAATAGTTCTATGGATTTAACACAGACTAAAGAATAGTATAGACAGAGCGCCACAGAACTAAACATGAAGCCAAATAATAATGTTTTAAAATAATATAAAGACTAATACACAGAGACATGCCTAGTCTCTTAGCATACCTATTCATTCTTTTGGTGGACATTTTCTAAAGCAATTTTTGCTAGATAAATTGAATCCGTTCTGTTAGTCGATTGAGAAAATATCTATTATAGTTTAATACAAAAGTGCACAAAGAGCGTAAAGGAATCTTTAATAAAAATATAGTCTCTATTCTGGACCATAAGCGATATTTCTTTGTACTAATATTTACCTTCATTTTATATTATATTGTAAGTGACATATTAAATAATAAACTTTGAATAAGGGTAGGGCAAAAAGCAGGGTATTGCAAAGAAGAAAGTTGTTAAAAGTTATCGCAAAAAGGAATAATGCAAATAAAGCTGACTTCAAACGCAAAAGATTCTCAATTTGAACTAATTTTATACAGTGTTATTCATTAATTATTAGTAAAAAAGTAAAGCTTGATCTTTAGTATTTCTAAGAGCTCCTATATCCATTTTTGGTATTGATACAGCCAACAGAAGCCACGCCAATAAAAAAATTTACAATGTTCGTCATATAATCATATGATTTCAAATAAAAAAATATTTTCTTGAATACCATTTGATTCCCAATTGGCAAGCCTCTCGAGCTAATATAACCTACATTGAGAAAGTCAGCTTTAACAAAACTATCCCACGGGAACTGTACATTTTTCCGGGATAAAAAGTAGTCTTTGTGCTATTTAAGACTATAATCTATCTCTGTGCCAAATTTCATCCAGAACCGTTCAGCCATACTGGCGTGATTGAGTAACAAACATCCATCCAAACATCGATACATCTAAACTTTAACATTTATAATATTTGTAAGACTTCACTTTCTTAGTTATAGCTTATTACTTAAAGATACGAACGTGTTCAAGAAAATTGCCAAATGAAACGGAATAGGTTTAAGTTAGTAGTCTAACATTATATTACAAACCAGAAAGCAATTCAAGTACGATACAAAATCTATGAGCATAAACGGTTCTAGCATACGCCTTTTGGTTCAGAGTTCACTTGTACGGAAAATGGTCGTACGCTATTAGACTTGAGTACGTCGTTACTTCAATACGAGTGAGTTATTCGTAGGTTTCCCTCTAAATATCTTTGCTGTACATTTTTAAATTACAAAATAATTTTATAAATCTTGTAGACTTAAATATTTTTCGAAGAAACTTAAAATTCAGATCAGATTTTTACTTTTCCATATAAATTCAATGAATCGATCAAAGGTGGAATTTTCTAAATTTTCAAAAATTAAAATTGTCAAGTCCCTAAGTACTAAGTAAGATGATTGTTTTATACAAAATATATTTTCCATCCACTCTTTCTCAAGTAAACCTCCGAAAATTGTAGATTTGGTTTCTATTACAACCTTATTCAAAATAAAAAGTATTATAATCTTCTTTAAGACATCTCAGTTATTACATAAATAATAATCCTAACCTACTCCTTAGAGTAAGCAACTTATTGCTTAGTTAAAACTTTAACATATTATAGCTATCGAAGTTATCTGTTATATTGAAATAAAGTTACACTCTGAGCGGAAAGCGCTTGTGAAATTGTTCTTAGAGACTGAAGTATAAAGCGTAACGCGTTTTAATTCTTAGAAGCATAGGTAACTTTACTTTTTCATCAATAAATATTTATATGTAGTAATTAAATTTACTTTTCGATATGCTACGAAACCAAAGTTATTTCAATTTTTTCAAAATTTCTTCTGCGAAAGGCTTGTATGCAAATTCTCGTTTCGGAAACTATAATTTTCCGCCCCCTTAGCCAACTTGGCTTTCCAATGTTGATATAGTTTATAGAAAACTAGTAGTCATAAGATATGTACAGCCACGGCCAACAACTAGTTGCATGCAAATTTGAAAAGCTCTTACAGCGCAAAGAAGTACGTAAGAAATACTTACACTTACAAACTTTCGCCTCCATCTTATCTTAGTACTATATAAATGCGAAACTTTTGGATGGATGAATGTTTGTTACTCAATCAAACCAGAACAGCTAAACGGATCTGGATTAAATTTGCCACAGAGATAGTTTGGAACAGCACATACTTTTTATCCTGGAATTTTACGGTTCCCGTGGGATACAAACCCGAGCATAGCGAGGGTGAGCCGCTAGTGTTTATATAAGTCAATTTCAAAATATTTAGATAAAGAGCAGAGCATATATATTTTTTATTTTCTATCAGCTATATTGATTGTAGAAATCGAAACAGAAAAAATAATCGCTAACGCTTATAGCTTATGCTGAAAGAAATCCCGATCGATACAACCACAGACTAACTTAGTTCAAACTCTACAAATTAACGGAATTTGTAATTCCACGTATGTAACTGACTTTCTCTACGACAGAGCTCTGAAACGTGAAACTTTCTTATTGCATGAAATTGTGTCCTACAACTCGTTATAAACTCAGGCTGAGTATTGTTGGCTTCAACTTCGCTGTCTGGTACTAATATAATAGGCTAGTTTCTAAGTTTTGCTGTTTCCATATTATTCTAATTACTGCAAATTTACAGTGATTAGGTTTTATATATTTTTTGACTTTAAATAAAAATTGTCAGAAGAAATACAACGGAATCAGTATTTTCATCTTACCGACCAATACCTCCGTGTCTTTTAATCTGTGCTCAACTGGCACGCTTTGAAGCGAATTGAACAAGAAAATTGAATTGAATTGATTGAATTTTTATCTTATGGTTGAAAAATCAACTCTTATAACTCTTACCATTTTGGATTAGATGCCTTAATTTTACTTTTTTTTTTAAATAGACAAATTATGATATGAAAAGTGATCGAAACAGAATATTTTAGTTAAGAAGCTACTCTATTTAAAAATGTAGTATCCCTTTCGATTAATATTTTGTAACTTTTCAATTACAGCAAATATACTTGAATAAAATGGGTGTAATTAATTTTTAAAGCGAATACCCTTTTGCTGGCGCTATTAAAGTATATAGAGTTTTTAACGTAAAGAGACCTTCTATATAATGTATTCGTATACATTAATATAGCCTGTACATGTTTTTGCTCTAGAGTTTGGACTTAATGGCCGCTATTCAAACTACATCAAGCTCGTCCATTGAATTGTTCTTCTTTTACGTTTATAGAAAGAATTTTATGTTTTTTGACCTTAATTGATGAATCCAACCAATGAAAATATTCATGCTTTATATGGCCAAAAGTAAAACATATCACGTTATCCTTAATGGGATAAAAGAGCAAAGTGGGAATGGCGAGAGGAGAGGTGAGGGAAGGAAGGGTGGGGGGTGAGAAAGAGAGGGAGATAGCGAGAGGGAGAGATGGGGCAGAGGAAGTGAGAGAGGCAGAGAAAGTGAGAGAGTGATTCTTTTCCGTCCCATCTCTGCCACTAATCTGACCAAAAGATGAGGTAGCGCGCAAAAAATTTTACTTAGACAAATATCTATAAGCCCAAACTATGCTTGCTATGTACGAAAATCGATTTCGCAAGCTCCGATACCAAATAGAGTTGTGGCTAAAGCTTTGATTAGTCTATCAAAAACCGCCCAATATTTGTTCTTTGAGTTAGACGTAGTTTGTGTTTTCAACTATTCAAGTTGTAGAAGCGGCGTCATTAGTGCACGTATATTGAAATAGTTGTATAGAAGTTGTGAGCTTTAAATTGGTGTATTCATATGCAAAGCAATGCGAGTAAAGAATGAGTGAAAATTGCTGTGGGCTTTGCTTTCGGATTAACTGCGCTGATTGAAAGGTTGAGGAACAATCCTGATTGTGCAGAGAAAGCGACGAATAATGCAAATTGTGCAATGGATGTTTTGTCTATTTGTAAATAGGAACACTGAAATATTGGTAGGATATTAATATTTTTTCTCTAAAATGAGAGAAAATGCAAAAAATTCATTTAGTGAACAAACACTCTACATAATATTGACTATTGAGCTATGCCCGCTTCTTGAAAATCAACGACTGAATACCGACTGACTCACGGACCTTTATGCCAGTTTTTATTACATACAGAAGAAGAAATTTAATCGAAATACGAGTCGCAAACAAACATTCACTTTCACATTTATAAACCGTAGTATGATTATTTCTAAAAATAATACTTTCCTAGAATTTATTTTCGCTCTAAATTCAGTCCAACCACGTCTATATCAGGACATCAAAAGCGGTGATAAATCCAACGTCGAAGTACTGACTGTTTTTGCTCACGTAAATCTAATATAACTTGCTCGTTTAGTACGTTCATGATTCTATAACGTGGATTTTAATTTAATAGACTATAATATTATGTATATTATTTGATTTTACGGTTTTGTTCAGTAGTCAATTTTTTATGTACAATATATACTATAGTATATACTCGTATATATGTCTGTCAAGTGTACAATATCCATATATAGCAAATGCAATGAAAATTCTTTTGTATTTCATACTTCTGATTACTTTACCCATTTAAAAATAAAAGGGCAAAGGTACATGAGTATGTGTATTTGTTAATGTTATAGTCAATTATTTGGTGCTAAAAGACGTTTTGAAATGGATTCCTTGAATAAGAACGAACATTGAGGCTCGGATGTCAGCTAAAGTTAATATTTACATTTAATATTATTTTATTATTGCAAATATAGAGATTTTTACATAAAAATGACCAGCTTTTATTTCCGAATCTTGGATCGAAGTATTCTAGTAGGTACTTACCGATAAAGTCCTTGATGGCTTGAGAGCCAGAGTCGAGAATGTCCGTGGGATTTACTCTTATCTTGCAATGTTTGACGAATGGCATGTCGGGCAACTTCTGCCACTCACCGCCACCGGTCGAGCAGTGTATATCAATAGAGATCGAGTTCTCATATGCGCGGATAACGCGCTGTACTTCGTTTTCTTGGTAAGCGTCAGTAAAATCAGCGAGGGAGAATGTCCCATCCTGTGAAGAGAATGAGTAGGTTAGTTTATATTTACAAGCTTTTATTGTTACTTATGGGTTTATTATGTGATATGACATTTATTAGTTTTTTAGGGTTCCGTACTCGAAGAGTGCCAACAGAACTCTATTACTAAACCTCCGCTGTCCGTTTGTTAGAGAGCTGTATCTCATGAACCGTCATAGAGTTGAAATTTTCACAAAGTATGTATTTCTATTGCCGCTATAACATCAAATAATAAAAATAAATAAAAACACAAGAAACATTTTTTTAACGTTCGTAATCGATCATCGAAGTTAATATACCACATACATAGAGTAAAAGTCATATTAACAAACAGTACATGTACAATGATACGCAATCCTTTGAGTGCGAATTCGACTCGCACTTGACTGACTTTTAATATTTTATTTAGATTCCCAATAATTTGGCACTACTGAAAGTATTAGTGCCTGGTAGTTGTCGTTTCATATTTTTAAAATAGTTAAATATTTAACTAAAAAACCTCGGCTATATGTAGATCTATCTTACATAAGATTAAATGATATAATCGAGACCTTTATAATGTTATTATACCCAAAAGTTTTTTCCGGTCTTTGCCTAAAGTTATTCTTCGAAGGCATTGATCCCAAACTATAAAAGTTCTTTGGATAAAAGTAATAAAGTAATATCGTAGAAAAATGGGGTAAAATGGCAGAAAAATCAAATTGAATAAGAAAATTGGAAAAAGATTAATATGACGAAAGTTGAGCTTAATACCGAAACCAATGGATAGGGAAAACTCACAAAAATAACCTATTGAAATATTAGGAGCAGCAAGCAGATTTATTGTGGAAAGTCTTTAAAGTTAGATAGTATAGGGATGTGTTTCCCCCCCAACGTGCGTTCACCTTGTCGTGGTGGGGGGGCTCAGTAGTGCCCGGCAACCCAACCGGGCGTGAAGCCAAGAAACGCACAGGGAGGTGGCCCACTACGGTGGGCGGTGGGAGGTGGCCTTCTTCGGAGGGCAGTGTACCATGCGGGTTGCTCCTGGTACTTCTCTGATAGCAGAGTGGACTGTGAAGCAACCCCGTGGTTGTTGTGGTCTGCTTCGGCAGACCTGCCGTCGAGGCGTCGTAGTTGAATGCGTAAGCGATCCTGCGACGCCCCATTAAGACGGGGGAAGTTTTTGTTGGGTTTTAGTGGGTAGTACTGGCTTTGCCGGTGAGTCCCACACCTCGTGCGTAAATGCATTTCCCAACGTTTAAAAAAAGGGATGTGTTCACTACAACGGTTATTATAATTATATGCTTAAGAATTTTAAACAAAACTATCTTTTCGGATTTTTTCGCGTATTTATTTTGTTTTTTGGTTCCTAATTTTTCGAATGCTTTACAGCAATCATGGTCGCGGGAGAGACTAAGGTTTTAGATGTCTTGAAGGCATTATATATGTAGTTGCAACAGATAGCCTACACAAAAAATAGCAAAATTAATTAAAAAAAGGCACCAAAGTACCATACAATATTTGTTAATTTTAATTTTGATCATTTTTATAACTCTAATAAGTTTTATAATTGAACATGGAATATTATTATTTAATTTTCGCTGTTATTATTATGATCCGAAAATCCGAAACCCTAAAAGATAATTTTATTTAAAATGTCAAATATTCGTGAAAAGTCAAAAAAAGGCTTAAGCATGTTTATCAAACTAATTTTCAGAGCTAAACTGAATCGATTTTGATAAAATTAATAGATGTGATAGTATGACTATAATAGATATATCCTCGTGAAGAATTGAAAGGGTTTTAGTTTAGTACTAATAAATATTCTCGCTTTACTAATAAATAAAACTTATGAAAGAAACCGTTATGACGTAAATACTATACGTCATATGGCACATTTCCCGGATAAATCAATGTCATGTTGGAGTGAAGCGGAAATTAAACGTCGTTACAGATCGCGTAGCGTCAGCAAAAAATATATTTCAAATATTTTACGTACCTACATATTATATATTTATTTTTTTCTTATTTATTTATTAGCTTTTTAAGGGAAACAAACAGTACAATAAATAATTACATTCTAAAACATATAAAAGTAATCCTGAAAACCAACCAAGTTTCCACAGATATCCATTACATAACAAAAGCTTACCACCACGATATGATGATACATATTATATAATATATAAAATACATATTATATAAAAAATTTGAATTTAAAAATAACTAAATGGTACCTACCACATAATAAAACATTAAGTAATTATGCAGTCAAAAGTAACAATATACATACAACCTATAGAAAAACTTCTATAGTAGAATTGAAATATTGGTTTGTTTTCAAAATAAATGACTGCTATTTAATTTCTTTTTCAATTTCAGAATTTAAAGACTCAAATTTTTTTATCATAATTAATCATTGAAAGAGGGTCCGACCAACATCCTTCGTGTCATCTCCATTTTACGTGACATTGGCGAAGTAATCTGTGCTCAACTGGCACGATTTGAAGCCATTAACAAAATAATTGAATTGAATTTAAATAGGTGAACTATATACGTACTTGCATAATCCAGGAGCCGTTTCCGGCGAATGTATATCCGGCGTGCACAAGGTGTCTATGCCTGGTGAAGGAGCTGAGCAAGTTCCTCATACATTGCATCAGCGTGTTCATCTGCGGGTGGATCAGGATCTCTGTCACGAGATTCTCTGAAGCATACTGGATCAATCTTTCGCCTGTAACAATTGTGATATATTATTAAATCATAGTTATTATAATTATTATGTTTCTTATTGTTATAACTAAGTAGTTTTTGAATAAAACTACGTGTCGAATTATTGCGCGGATTTATTTTGATTTTTGGTTCCCGACGTTTCGAATGCTTTATAGCAATCATGGTCACGGGAGAGACCTAAGGCGTTAGATGCCTCAGATGTCATTATATAGTTGTTATATGATATAAAATCAAAGAGAAGAATCGGCGAGATTCTACAGTAATTGCTCTTTTAATATATTTTTTGCTTATAATATTGCAATACATCAACAATGCTACGTAAGACCCTACCAGAAGTTCGTTCCACATATATACCTAGTATAAATATTTGTGTTACATATAGATAATTCTGATTTCGTCAATACCAAAGTTTTCTTATGTTCACTTAATTTGTTTTAATAAAAACAACCCCTAATCTAAAAACCCTACAAAATCTGAAATATAATAGCAATGACAGCCTTGGCCTCGTCTCGTAAACAAAACTAATGGCTTCCAACCACGCCCCGAAATTGAATCGTTTATCTCTATCACACTCAACTGAGCAGAATGTTGCAAAAAAATATAGGTTTTCTGAAACATTATCTCTCGGAATGGCTTTTTTTCGTCAATTTATGACGAAATTTGTACTATAATATCAAGGACCAGCTTAAGATGGCATGTTAAGTGTCATAGCTTCATTTCTTGTGAGAGAAGCGGTTGGTTAGTGATCTATTATTTTCTTATTCATATAAATAAATATTCGTATGTTTGTCCTCTATATTTTCCTAAATCATTGTCCCGTTTGTGATGAAATTTTGATGGGTTATTCTGTATACACCTGAGAACGTTTCTGACGTAAAACAAAACAGATTTTAACATTTCAGCTTAGGGATGTACCCGAGCGAAGTGAGGGTAAACCGCTAGTATAATATATATATATATATATATATATATATATATATATATATTGCTTCAAATTTTTCTTAATACTTGAGGTTTTTGATTGAAAGTATACCTTATAAGTTATATCTCTTAATACAGTAGCATCAAAACTATTATAAAGAGATTTGTCTAACAGAGTAAAAATATGTTTCATGACATAAGGTTTGATATATGACAAAACAAAGGACGATCTAAAACATCCACCGAAAGAGCAGGCATGTTGACATTTAACAAACGTAAAGATCATAGGTGAAATTTAAAGGCAATCATTGGGTCTTACTGAGCCTTAAAAACATAGTATTTCAGTCTTTTACGACTACAGTAAGAGATTAATATTTACATATATGTATTTTTATGTATGTCTTGGTCTATCACACTGTTGTAAACGAAAATCTGTATATTAGTCACTATTTCACGCTGAAATAGCTAAACACATTTTAATGAAATTTAGTTCAAAAGTTATACTATAACCTGGTTCAAAGGATAGACTAAAATAACCTTAATACGCCTAAGTATGCACCTGGCCATATAAAGCGAGGAAAAGTTTCCTAGCTTAATACAAAAACTTTTGCAACAATCAAATTTCACAAATAAAGCTTCCAATCGTTACTTTATAACGCGTTCAGATATATAAGCTTTCAGTAAAAGCTCTAAACAAAGTCATTCGAGATCGTATTAATATATTTTTAACTCTAATTCAACAGAATGAATGGTTTGAATGGTTGATAATTAAACAAAACATGAAATTACATAATTAGAATACAAAAAACCTATATTTTAACAACAAGTTACAAGTATCTTTCTCGTAAAACTTTTGCCTGAAACCCCAATTCATCTGACAAGAATTAACTTTTAGTATAATTTAGACCGACGTCAAAATTATATCTTGAAGTCTTCGCATAATAATTTACAAAACGGTCTAAAAGTCTGGAACTTAGTTAGAAAAAAGCTTTGACCTTGACTATCCTTCATTATAATTACAGAGCTTTTTACCACAAAAAATTACACTTTCCATTCCATTTCTCTTCTTTGTAAGTGAACGAGCATAGTAAAGCTTGTTAAAGGTTAAATTTGAATTTCTTTAGGTAGAATTAATTAACTTTATGAATATTTGTCTACGAAAAATTATTGAAATTTATGCATGGGAAGGATAAATATATTAATGAAAAGTTAGAAAATTATGTGGTCTATTTATAACTTGGGCAATAAAGCATTACGTTATAAAGTCAGAATACGTCCTTAATCATTTGCATATCTATACATATAATAAAATTGTAACTAAGCCGAATCTTTACATGCAATAGACATTAATATCGATACAGAGGCCGAATCTATAGTTTTTAGATTTTTTGTCTGTTACCGCTTCACGGAAAAACCACTGGAGGGATTTTGATGAAATTTAGTATGATGATAGCTGGTTATCCGGATCAACATATAGGATACTTTTTACTGCGGGAAAATATCTCATTTCTGAGAAAAAATACAAAAACTGAAATGTAAGAGTAAACTAATATGTAAAACCTAAGTATTTGGTTTTTGGTCACCTGAACGCGGGCGGAGCCGCGGGTAATGCTAGTTATATATATATATATATTTTGGTATTACTAGTATCGATGTCGATTAGCGATAGCGAATAGAAAGTCAATTTGTGTAAGATTCTTTACAAAATTGTCAATATATCGGCGATTTCTCTACTTTTTCGAAAATTTTACGTAGGTTTTGGAAGATTTTACGAAAAGCTACGTATTAATTACTTTTGATCTAAAAAATATACTTTGACTTTAAAATTGCGTAAAAGAAATATTCAGAAGTAGATTTTTTCTTGAAATTTATGACCCGTCACATGTGAAAGGTATAAAAAAAGTTTTCAAAAAAAAGAGTTATGAAAATCGATTTATAATTGACGAATCCTTAATGAAATCAGTTAAAAAATCGAATCCCGCTTCATACACATCGTACATCAGATGTTTTCAATTGATATTAAATGCCTTAAAATACTCACAAATAAAGCTTCGAAACGCTACTTTATAACACGCTCAGATATCTAAGCTTTCAGTAAAAGCTCTATACAAAGTCATTCGAGATCGTATTAAGGGTACTTGAAAACAGAATGAATGGTTTGAATGGTTGATAATGTGATTTATAGGATGAGATGCGGCTTTTGTGTTTAACTTGGAAAAAGTTGTGATTGGAATTGTGATTAAAACATACTTTAATAGACCTTTTCCCCTATAATATGGATAAACTAGCGATTTACTGTCGTTTTGCTCGGGGATGACCTTAGATCAGCAGAAGCATGTCTTACTTGAGGTACTATTTGTGTGGATACTCATCCAAATCGTTCCAGCCATTTTAGCGTGAAGGAAAAACAGACATACATATACAAATTCTATATATAAGAACTGGTGTTCGACTAGTGGTTAGTATTGGTCTATAATTATAATATAAAAAAAGCTGGATTTTTTTCCAAAAAATTTTAACACTGAAGCTCGTAAGTAGCTATTAAAAAAAAGGATATCAATCAAACAGAAGAGAAAAGTTACTGAACTGTTTAGTTTTTGCCTATTTATATATAGATAGTCCGATTATATTTGAATATTACAATGAGGATTGTTACTTAGTGAATGATAATAATAAAAGTTTACAATAATAAAATGAATTTTAATCGAACGATTTCAAATTTTTCTTGTAATAATTATTTCGTACTTAGGGTGGATTTTTACTTGAGATTTAATTGATACCATCCATAACATTAAAATTAGTTAGCAATGAGGCGTATATCAAATAATACAAAAACTAAAACCCAAAGTGAGCTTTTGAAGTCAGTCCAAGACTAGAGTCCTATCGTAAATTCTAAACAAGTTAAAAAATCACGTGTTACTCAAGTTTCATTCAAGTTTTATTCAACTTTCATCAGGCATATGAGTTTCCAACGCGAATATTTTTAATATTTTTTACTAAAAAATGGGTTTTCAAAGGGTTTCAACAAGAGTTACGAGAAAGTGAGTCGGCCGCGCTGTACGTTGTATTGCGAGATGTATGTAAAATTTTGTCCCATTTTTACCTCAAAATAAATATAATATAGTGCTCATTTGAAGTACAGCTTTGTTTTTTAATTCTGTACTGGAGAGGGTTTGTATTTGATAGAAATTATAAGGCGAATTTTTGTTACAAATTTTTAGCCACATAAAAATAATTTCATTTAGTATATCGCACGTCATAGGGGCAAAATGAGTGGCAATATACATATACGCAAAAGCATTTTTCTATTCAAAATCCATATTAATGTCAAAGTAACTCTATCTGTTACCTTTTCACGCTTTAAACGCTGAACAGATTTTGATAATATTTGACAAGGACATGGATTGCATCCTGGGCATAGGCTATCTTTGACCTTACCACGCGAGCGAAGCCGGGAGCAAAAACTAATAATCCGTATTAATATTATAAATGTGAAAGTTTGTGAGTATGTTTGTTACTCTTTCACGCCAGAACGGCAGAACCAATCTGGATTAGATTTAGCACAGAGAAAGATTATAGTCTGGAATAGCACGTAGGCTACTTTTTATCCCGGATAAATGTACGTTTCTTGTGGGATAGCTTTGTTTTTATTTTCCTAGTGGCGAACCCGAGCTAAGCGAGTGTGAGCCGCTAATATTATATAAATCGACAAATCTCTTCGCTTTGAGGAAAGACCTAGCTGTAAGACGTTAAAATGTGCTAAATCAAAAATATTATTTTAAAATAATTTGATGAATATATTTTTGATTCAATTCAATTCTCTTGTTAATAGCTTCAAAGCGTGCCAGTTGAGCACAGATTACTTCGCCAATGTCACGTAGACTGGAGAAGACACGAAGGAGATTGGTATATATTTTTTTGAAATCCATATCAAAGAATAAAGTCCACTTATTGCAAAAAATGTTATCAGTAAGTTTATAGTTATATATAAAGACTTCTATGTATCTAATCTGAATATTTACGATTTGGCCTCTCACGCCATAATTTCTGTTAAATGAAGCCATGTTTGGAAAACCATTCGTCTAGAAACAGATAGCGTAATGCCCCGCTGGAGTGAGGCCAAAACGTTATGAAAGAGACGTTAATGAAATAGCTAATACATTTATTGAAAAATCATTTTTTGGCGTATCGAGATCGAATTTTAAGAATTCGATACTATTATAATTATAAAAAAAAAATGAAAATTACGAACTTTGTCAACTTTTGTATATAAGACTTGTCAAAATGAACTAAATAAATTTTCACTAATAGGGCTTATTAGTACCTACAGAAGGGTTTCATCAGTATCCAGCAGTGAAGTTAAAAGAATCAATCGAACGAAGCAGACAGACAGATCGACATACAAACAACTGGAGGTTTAAGCTTTGTATGTTTGTATGTAGGTGTATTCAGTCCTTTTTAAAATCCCACTGCTGGGCACCCCTTCAATATGAAGGGGATCAGACCATAGTCCACCACGCTGTTCTAGTGCACGTTAGCGGACTTCACATGTCTTTCGAAACTTACTAAGTTCTCTTAGATATGCAGGCTTCCTCAGAATGTTTTACTTCAACGTAATGCAATTGGTAATCTTGTTAAAAATGATTCGCACATAAAAATATCAGACCCGGGATTTGAACCCGTTTCTCTCAGTTTTCAAAGCAGGCGCGTTACCACTGGGCTACCACTGCCTTACAACTGTTAAAGCTTTGGTATTGTGAAAATCACTATATTAACTCAATGTGAGCTAATGAAAATTGCTAATAATTTGAAATCACGAACACATATACAATGTGTTTAAAAGTATTATTATTTAACAGAAAAGTGTTTTTTTTATTGAGTTCTTAACGAGCTGTTTAAGTTTATTCCATAAATAAACTTGAAACGATAATAGCCTATTAACGAAAAAATATATAACAGATAGCGTCGATGAAACGAGAGTTAAACTAAAAAATAATGTATGAGAAATCTATACCTACTAACCGTTAAAACGTACTAATATACTGAGTCGCTAGTACTAAATCAGAAGTAATAAATCAGAAAAATCTTAGAAATAAAGTTTAGTTAAGTTAAAGCTTGTTTTAAAATAGATAAAATAGAACTCTACTCTAAAGTACAACAAGTATCGGTTGTTTGAACAAATAAGTTACGAATAAGTGATAAATTAATTAATATTTTTCTTCTTTGAAACAACTATCATCAATCATGACTCTTGATAGAAATAATTTTCTTGAGATATTACAAAGTACTATACGACAAGCAGAATTGAATGTACATATTTCATTCTTCATCCTACTAATATTATAAACGCAAAAGTTTGTCAGAAAGTATCGATCTTTGTTACTCTGAGAAACTACTGAACGGATTTTGATGACATTTTACTGTAATATATCGTACTAGCGGCTCACCCTCGCTTCGTTCGGGTTCGCCTCTAGAAAAGCACAAACAGATCTATCCCACGGGAACCATTCATTTTTCGGGATAAAAAGTAACCTGTTATTTGAACGGTAATATAGGGTATCAGCATGCCAAATTTCACAAAATTTGTTGTGTACTAAGCGGTATAAGTTAATATAGTTTTTTAACTATTCCACGGGAACTCCATAACTTTCCGGGATTAAAAGTATCTAAAAAGTTTACCGGAGATATAAGGTATCATCATGCAAAATTTCATTTAAATCGGTTTAACAGTTTCGGAGATTAGCCCATACAAACAGACAGAGAAACAAAAAAATTGAAAAAAAAAACTGGATTTGTTCTATTTCTCTTCTTACAACCCCCTGACTCGGTTTTAATCATTTTCTTTCTATGTTCAAGCATTCGACCTCTACAGTTTCATTATATATATACATAGATACATGTATAGATATCAGAGACTACATAAGCTATAATTTATAAATAAAGTTATACATATCAAATTGAAACACGCAGGCAGAGCCGCGGGAAACGCTAGTCTAACATAAAATACTCTATTGACTCGAGATAATTACTCTTTATACTTTTTACTATAATTACTCATAGAGATGTTGAAGTCCGTATATGTGTGTGTGTGTGTGTGTTATACTAGTAGAAGTATATATCCAATGTACTGAGTAATGTATATGTATGTATGTATCAAATGCTATTTTTTTCATTGTTAACTGATACAAAAATAGACTGGTCGACAACCTACAATTTATACTAGCTTTGCCCGTGTCGTTGATTTATATGTGATCCGAAAAAAACGTCTTTCTGTTTCTAGCAGCAAAAAAAAGGGCTTTTACATACGATAGACCTAGACCCTCTTAAAATCAATAAATCAATTCCATCCCATAATCCGTTCTTAGCTGACATCTTCTGCCTATAAACTACCTACCTAATACTTACTAAATTTCAGTTTTATAGATTAGTTTAGCCAGTGAGTAAATGGCCCTTTATATTTTTATATTAAATTTTTACAAATCCTATTAAAAATATATTATTTTATTTTTTTAAGCTACTCACCATATCTGGCTTCCTCCCCCTCGGGTGCCTGGGCCGTGAGGGTAGCCAGTTCTTTCTCCAGATCGACCTGATGCTCGCCTGAATCCCATGATAGGAGTCCTGTAACAAAGAACATACAAATAAGTATACAAATATTTACATATGTATAACTATATCATATACTGTAAGTTTGTTTGTGCACGAACAAATCTAACTATCAGCATTTATTACTTATTAAAACTGATTCAAGAAGTAACTATGAATAGTCTTCATATATGTTATACAGATATATACCTATTATTATATAGACGACACGTTTGGCTCAGTTTGTAGTGAACCTAAGACCTTTATACGTGTAACGTTTAGAATTCTCATAGCACTTTAATTCAATTATCCTCTAACAAAAACACGAAGAGTTAATCTATACATATAATAAAATTCTAACTAAGTCGAATCTGTACATAAAATATTTTTTGGAAAATCTTATTGAAATACAAATTATTATCGATATAGAAGCCGAATCTATAGTTTTTAGAATTTTTGTCTGTCTGTCTGTTACCGCATCACGGAAAAACCACTGGAGGGATTTTCATGAAATTTGGTATGGTGATAGCTGGTTATCCGGGTCAACATATAGGATACTTTTTACCGCGGGAAAATATCTCATTTCTGAGAAAAAATCCAAAAACTGCAATGTAAGAGTATACTAATATGAAAACCTAAGAATTTGGTTTTTGGTCATCTGAACGCGGGCGGAGCCGCGGGCAATGCTAGTAAAAAATAAGTCTGTCAAAACAGAGCACCAACAAGTATGGACAAAGCGCTTTATGTATATATTTAATATGTATGTATGTATGTAGGCACAATTTCCTTTATTACTTCCGTCCCGCGAGGAAAGTTTTCCCAGTATTGCTCGCATCGCGAGTTCAAAGTGCCATTATATTTACACGAAGTGAACGCGGCTATGGAATGCTTAACGGGTTTTCATATACATTTTTTATTATATAAAAGAGCAATGTATATGAAAGTGTTAATTTTTAATACGGCCTTAAGGTTTGAGTTCGATTAAAATTGTATATAAATTAATACTTGCTTAAATTTACGCGAATATTTGACATTTTAAATAAAACTATATTTTCGGATTTTTTCGCGGATTTGTTTGGATTTTTGGTTCCCGACGTTTCGAATGCTTTACAGCATTCATGGTCACGGGAGAGACTGACGTGTTAGATGTCTCGAAGGTATAGTTGTTACAGACAGCCTACCCACAAATAACAAAATGAAAATTGCACCAATTACCTTACAATATTTTTTAACTTTAAACATTTTTATAATTTTAATTAGTTTTATAATTGAATATGTAATATTATTTATTTAATTTTTGCTGTTATTCTTATAATTAATTATTACAATTTTAAAAATATTAATTAGTAATCTATATTTAGTGTTGCCATTATAATATTTATAACCATAAAGAAAAAATATAATATTAATTATTTAAGCCATATAATTGTTCAATGTGTAATTTAAAAAGTTAAAATTAATTAAGAATAATAATCATAATTTAGTTTGCTATTATTTAAAAAGACAAATTACTGAGCTACACTATTATCACTTGTAAAAGTATACTGTAATAGTGTTGCTTAGTAATTTATCTTTTCAAATAATAGCAAACTAAATTAAAATACCCTATACAATTTCATATGCATTTAGTAAAAACTTGTTGTTTTGACAATACAAACAGACGCTTCAATATTATTTATCTGTCTAGATTAGCTATCTACTCTACAATTGAGTAGTAAAATTTTAAAGTTCTCGTTAGATCTATCTTCAGATAGGTCTAAAAACCTATTTCTAGTTCACACCGAGCTGCAAAGTGAGAGGTCAAGAGGTTACATTGTTTCGCGGAGTCTCCATGCATTGTTCTGAACTTATAAAATTATTCATTATGTAACACACATGTATGTAGCAGTGGTAGCCCAGTGGCGATGCGCTTGGTTAACCGAGTGAAGCGGGTTCAAATCCCGGGTCTCGTACCTCTGATATTTTCATGTGCGAATCATTTCAACATGATCACCAGTGAAGGGAAACATCGCGAGGAAACCTGCATGTCTGAGAGAACCTAACAAGTTATCGAAAGACATGTGAAGTCCGCCAACCCGCACTTGGCCAGCGTGGTGGACTATGGGCCTGATCCCCCTCGTATTTAAGGGAGGCCCGTGCCTAACAGTAGGACGTTAAGAAGGGCTGAATACATGTAATATACAACTTTTTTTTTCTATCGTTTTAGATTTTTTTGTATTAATATGTGCCTTTGTTATGTCTAAAAAGCTTTTTTTAAATATGTATGGGATAAACTCGAAAACTACGAATTTTGTCAATAGTAGACAGCTATATTATTCCTGGGTGTTAAATGCTATATTATAAATATCAATGCACCAAGAGTGATGGCAATTATTAAATAAACTTACAAGAAATCAAGAATATCTTACTTTTTATACATGCTATATTTATAAAAAAAGTGTGTGTGTGTACTTATACTTATGTACGCACGTAAGAAGTTATACTTTGGCGTAACAGAACAATATAAACAGGTCAAAATTTCATCCCGTATATCACAACTGTCTGTTTGTAAAAGGAATGCAGCTAACTTCATCATGTCGCTTTTTGGCTGTCGATGTGCGCGCGCATCTTAAAAATTTTACTCCCATAATTTTTTCCAAACGTGCCAAAAGAAGTATAACTTCATCAATTACAATATATGTATATAAATAAATACATGTGATATATCTTCGCTTTGCTCGGGTGCATGCCTAAGTGCCTAATTTAGCCTATGTCTTAATCCCGGTAATAGTTTGTGTACTGAATTTCATCCAAATCCGTTCAGCCGTTTTAGAGTGAAAGAGTAACTAACAAACAAACATACATACATACAAATTTTCGTATTTATAATAGGTACTAGTCCGATGTTTGTTTTATGATATTTAGAATCTAATATAACTTAAGTTGAAAAATCGATAAGCTTTTATTATAACTTTATAATAATTCTATTTATTCTAGAAAAATATAAAATTAGTTAAATATCCTTAGTTATTTTACAAAAAAAAACTCACACAAAGGATTTACAGAAAATTTCACGCACTCAGAGTTGAAAGCGACTCAGCGACCGCACGTTACATTTACACAAATGTACATTTTGCATTTTAAACTGGTTTTTTTTTTAATTCCAACGTTTCCAGCCATTTATTATAAATTAACCCAAGAAATAAACGAAAGTCTGAATAATGGGAGCTTAGAACAAAAGCACACTGTAACAGTAATAAAAGCGTATTCATAACAAATGATGTATTAATCATATTTTGAGGTCAGGGCCCTGGAAATTAAAGTTATTTTACAAGAGACTGATTGTTCTGGGAAGAGAAAAGACAAATATCTATGGTTAAATTTTAAGATATGAACAAACTGACTGTAATGCATTGTTTATTTTTGGTTTATTACACTCAAAAAAAAACGTACTTATGTATTTCTGAGGCAATGGTAGCCCAGTGGCAACGCTCTCGCTTGGGAAACCGAGTAAAGCGGGTTCGAATCCCGGGTCTCGCACCTTTCATATTTCATGTGCGAATAATTTATAACATGATTACCACTTTTCTTAGGGGGGAGGAAAAGATAGTGAAGAAGTCTATGTAGACTGACATGTGTCTGAGTGAACCTAGCAAGTTTTCGAAAGACATGCTCAGTCCGTCCGCATTTGTCCAGCGTGGTAGACTATGGCCTGGTTCCCCTCGTATTAAAGTGAGGCCCGTGTCTAGCAGCGGGAGGTTAAAAAGGGCTGAATACGCCAGCCGATACAAATCAAAGCACACCGACTTCGAAAATATTTGATTAGGTATGTATAGTAAATGAAAACTACCAATCAGTTATTTTAACTTTTTAGTGCTTTTTTTGAAGTCGGTTTTTATTATTTTTTTAAGTTTTTTTTAGTATTTATTCAAGAATATTTTTTTTAAAGAAAACTGTACTGTTGGCCAAAAACTCCGAGCGAACTCAGTCGCCCAGGTACTGATTATTTAATAAGCAATTGTATAACAATATAACCATGTATTAGTGACAATCATAGGGCGTTTCTAAAGTAACTATTTCGGACTATTTCTAAATGTATACCTCATAAAGTATTCAAAAGTATTGATGTGTAGTTTTGTTCAAGGATTTTTATCAACTATACCTATTTATGTTAGGTTTTGTAATAATTATATTTAACTTTGCTCCAAAAAAATACCAAGGCGGCAAAAAAAATGATAATGAAAGTTGCAGGATTCCTATTTATAGAAGACAATTGCAAAAGGATGCGAATATTTTCTTATAATCCAAAAGGAACACAGACTTCAAAATTACTTAAAAATAATTATTCCACGCTTAAAGTAGTATTTTTTAAAAATTTATATGAAATCTACCTTAAATTATGATTAAAAATAAAATATATAATCGGTTCAAAGTTAGGCAATGATATTGTGTAACAAGACGAATCTAACAAGGTACATATGAATCTTCAAAATCGGCTCACAGATTTCGCCTCTAAAACGCCACAAAGGGACAAACATGTAACATACATACATACATACATACATAGACTGATAAACACATTACCCTCCTTTGCGTTGCGCAGTCGGGTAAAAACAAAAATTGGTCAAAAATCAATATTGTGCTCATACGACCTCATTATTTATATCCCGTTTATATAAAATTGTGTTAAGGGTTATCTTCATTTAATCAATTTATAATTCAGCCAACATTAAATGTGGTAACAGCGTTTAATTTTAAACTGGAAAGGTCATTCATAATTTAATATTGATGTCACGTTTGGTTCAGTTTGTAGTGACCCTACTCGCTGTGCCAGCGATCGCGGGTTCGAGTCCCGCGGGTGGCATTCATTTGTGTGATGAGCACGAAAGTTTGTACTCAGTCATGGGTGTTTACATTTATAATATGTATGTTTTTAAAGTTATATATACATAGTGTATTAACTATCTGGTATCCATAACACCAGCCTCGTAGCTTACCTTGGAACTAGATGGTGCTGTGTGGTAATGTCCCAACATATTAAATATGAAATATAATTATACCCTGAATTAAAGG